AGAGCAGCCCCTGAAAGCCCAGAAGGGAAGCAAGCCTTTTCGAAAGGCAATTGCCAAATTCAAACTCCAAGCCTTTCCCCAAAAGAAACCAATCCCTTATTAAACCCTTAGTAAAGACACAGCTTTCCACAATTTCCACGGCCCTGGAACAGAGAGGCTCCTTCACGTAAGTGGTTTGTTTGCTGGGGTTCCACCATTGCAGGCAAGCTGCTGCCAGAGCAGCCCCCTGGAAGCCAGAAGGAAGACAAGCCTTTCCAAAAATTGCCAATTCAATAAATCAAGGCCTTCCCAAAAGACCAATCCCATAAAACCTTATTAAAGAACAGCTTTTCCACAATTTTCCAAGGTCCTGGACCAGGAGAGGCTCCATTTCACTTTAGTAGGTTTGTTTGCTGGGTTCACTATTGCAGCAAGCTGTGCCAGAGCAGCCCTGGAAGCCCAGAAGGGAAGCAAGCCTTTGCCAAAATTGCCAAATTCAAACTCCAAGCCTTTCCCAAAGGAGCCAATCCCTTATTAAACCCTTATTCAAGAACAGCTTTTCCACAATTTTCCAAGGCCCTGGAACAGAAGAGGTTCGTTCCATTTCACTTTAGTAGGTTTGTTTGCTGGGTTCACTATTGCAGCAAGCTGTGCCAGAGCAGCCCCTGAAAGCCCAGAAGGGAAGCAAGCCTGTTCCAAAGGCAATTGCCAAATTCAAACTCCAAGCCTTTCCCAAAAGAACCAATCCCTTATTAAACCCTTATTAAAGAACAGCTTTTCCACAATTTTCCAAGGCCCTGGACCAGGAGAGGCTCCATTTCACTTTAGTAGGTTTGTTTGCTGGGTTCACTATTGCAGCAAGCTGTGCCAGAGCAGCCCCTGGAAAGCCCGAAGGGAAGCAAAGCTTTTTCCAAGGCAATGTTGCCAAATTCAAACTCCAAGCCTTTCCCAAAAAGAACCAAACCCTTATTAAACCCTTATTAAAGAACAGCTTTCCCACAATTTTCCAAGACCCTGGACCAGGAGAGGCTCCATTTCACTTTAGTAGGTTTGTTTGCTGGGTTCACTATTGCAGCAAGCTGTGCCAGAGCAGCTCCTGGAAGCCCAGAAGAGAAGCACGCCTTTTCCAAAAGCAATTGCCAAATTCAAACTCCAAGCCTTTCCCAAAGGAGCCAACCCCTTATTAAACCCTTATTAAAGAACAGCTTTTCCACAATTTTCCAAGGCCCTGGACCAGGAGAGGCTTCATTTCACTTTGGTAGGTTTGTTTGCTGGGCTCACTATTGCAGCAAGCTGTGCCAGAGCAGCCCCTGGAAGCCCAGAAGAGAAGCAAGCCTTTTCCAAAAGCAATTGCCAAATTCAAACTCCAAGCCTTTCCCAAAGGAGCCAATCCCTTATTAAACCCTGATTAAAGAACAGCTTTTCCACAATTTTCCAAGGCCCTGGACCAGGAGAGGCTCCATTTCACTTTAGTAGGTTTGTTTGCTGGGTTCACTATTGCAGCAAGCTGTGCCAGAGCAGCCCCTGAAGAAGGGAAGCAAGCCATTTCCAAAATTGCCAAATTCAAACTGCAAGCCTTTCCCAAAAGAACCAATCCCTTATTCAACCCTTATTAAAGAACAGCTTTCCCACAATTTTCCAAGGCCCTGGACCAGTAGAGGCACCATTTCACTTTAGTAGGTTTGTTTGCTGGGTTCACTATTGCAGCAAGCTGTGCCAGAGCAGCCCCTGAAGAAGGGAAGCAAGCCATTTCCAAAATTGCCAAATTCAAACTGCAAGCCTTTCCCAAAAGAACCCATCCCTTATTAAACCCTTATTAAAGAACAACAAGTACTACAAGTACTACAAGTACTACAAGTACTACAAGTACTACAAGTACTACAAGTATACAAGTACTACATGTACTACAAGTACTACAGTACTACAAGTACTACAAGTACTACATGTACTACAAGTACTACAAGTACTACAAGTACTACAAGTACTACAAGTACTACAAGTACTACAAGTACTACAAGTACTACAAGTACTACAAGTACTACAAGTACTACAAGTACTACAAGTACTACATGTACTACAAGTACTACAAGTACTACAAGTACTACAAGTACTGCAAGTACTCCAAGTACTACAAGTACTACATGTACTACAAGTACTACAAGTACTACAAGTACTACAAGTACTACAAGTACTACAAGTACTACAAGTACTACAAGTACTACACTACAAGTACTACAAGTACTACAAGTACTACAAGTACTACAAGTACTACAAGTACTACAAGTACTACAAGTACTACATGTACTACAAGTACTACAAGTCTACAAGTACTACAAATACCACAACTTCATCGGCAAAAAAAACAATCTTAATTAGATTTCGATTGTAGCCAATTGAAATCCTTACTTAATCGAGGATATGTTTTTCTTTTGGGAAGAATTTTTTTGCTTTTCTACTTGAAAGAGAGTCCAGATATAGTTTAGGGGAGGGGGGGGGGCCACACACTAATCATGAACCAACATTATCGCAATGATAATCCCATATAATAATCGGATATTACTGTCATTATTATTGCTATAAATAGTTACTTCGTTACCATTATACCAATCGGTTGCAACAATGGACTTTATCCAATACCGTTATCAATCACAATAGTTCTATATTATCCTGCAAAAATGCCATAATGATAATCCTTGAATCAAACAATTCCCTATGATCAATACCATCTGGTAATTTAACATAGCTATATATGTAAAATCACAATTTTTAAAAGGTAAACCATGGATAAATGTGCATTTTTTCCATGGCTATGTTGAATTACCGGAGGGTAATCATTATATATTATATATATAATAATCCCAGAATAACAATTGTTGTTGTATTATCTTCCGGCAATCCCACAATAGTTTGTGCCCTTGAGGTTATGTCATATTATTTCATAATAATCCCATAGTGATGTACCATGAGTCCCTTATGGCCCTAGTGGTTATTCCCTAACACAATAGTAACAGTACTAACTAATATATATATATATGTAATTAATTGTAATTATATATGTAGTTATGTATAACTATATATATAACCTTGTGGTTATGATAATCCATTTCAATAATTCCATATCCTGAAAATAGCTGAAACTTGCCGCTATTGGGAAAAGATTTCCCTTGCATTCACCACCACCATTCCAGGTGATAACAACAATAACAACAATAATATAGCAATAATATAACAATAATTCCTTGCGGTCATATTACATTCCCTAGGTTATTTCTCTTATTATACTTATCCAACATTATATTCCCATTATAATCATCCCTATTACTAATTATCAATAGTATTGTTGTTATATTCCCATAATCCCATAATATTGGTTATTCCCATAATCCCATAATCATTAGAATGTGTGCTTTACTATGTTATAATATGTTATAATAATATCATCATATCCCGTCATATCCCATCACAATCATCCTTGATTTTAGGTTTTTTTTTGAGCAGGTTCAGGTATTTTCTTTGGATTCTTGAATTTCTTCTGCTCCTGCTTCTCTGCTTTTCTACTTCTCTGCTTTTCTGCGTGTTTCCTCTTTTGTTCTCTGCTTGTATGCTTTTCCTGCTTTTCCGCTATTTTGTTTTTTTCCTGCTTTTCTGCTTCTCTGCTTTTCTTGCTTCTCTCTGTTCTGCTTCCCTGTTTTTTTTCCTTTTTTTTCCTGCTTCGCTGCTTTTCTACTTCTCTGCCTTTCTATTTCTACTTGTCTTTTTCTGCAGTCATGCATTTTCATGATATTTCTCAAGGACAAAAATACGCAAACCATTCCCATATTTCGTGTTACCTTTAGTCGAATTTGAATTGTGCAAGCAGCTGTAATAAGCAGATTCCCGATTTCACCAATTCCCACATAATGGGAATCTGCTTATTACAGGTCTGATTTAAGGGTACCCCATTCTAGCAGATCCTTATTTGAGCGTTTTTAAGGGTTTTGGGTGTGTGATAAGCAAATGAAAATCTGCTTATAACCTGTCCGCGACTATAATATGTTATACTAAAATCATCATATCCCGTCATATCCCATCACAATCATCCTTGTTACTAGTTGTCATTGGTATAATTGATAATAACTGATATGTTTTCACCATAACATCATTATGATGATTATACCACCGTATCCTAATAAGTCAGTTGTGGTGATATAATACTCGCCTATTTGAGATGATTGTTATAACCATATTGTCCCAGTGATATATCACCATTATAATTGATAATAATTCCATGATTGTCATCCTTATTACAAGTACTAATGATTAGTAGTATTGTTGTTATATTCCCACAACCACGTGATTCCTCATTATGATGATTATATCACATGTATGGAAGTTTCCACGGTCTAGCTACTGTATATTTGTTATATTCCCATAATCCCATTATTTATTGGTTATTCCTCTTCTAATCATCAAAACAACCAGGATAGTTATATTAAAGTAGTACATATTGATACCTTTTAGTCATCGTCATCATCGTCATCACCAGATGAGACTTCTAGATTCAGTTGGGATCATTGGGAGGATGGACAACCATCATAGATCTCAATTTCCATCATGGGTCAAAACCCTGGTACCTAGTGAACATCAAAATAGCTGGGATTTATGGATGTGAATAACCCACTAAAAATGGTATTAATAGGTATTGATTCATAGCCAATTAGATTCCAACATAGATCTTACTTCCATCATGGATCATTGTAGGATGGGATCTTATCTGGTTGGTGGTTTCAACCAACCCTCTGAAAAATGATGGACTTCGTCAGTTGGGATTATGAAGATCTCCCAATATATGGAAACAATTGGAAAAAAACATGGTCCAAACCACCAACCAGTGATTATTAACCATTATTGACCATGATTAACCACTATTAACCAAATGTTCCAGTCACCACCAACCAGTTATGACAATTCCATCCTGTTATCCCAGATTCACCAAGGATGGCCCCTTGACGGAAGCATTGGAAACCGTTGGACGCCCGAGCGATGTCCAAGGAAGCGAAGATGTCTCGGTTCTCGTAGGCTCCCTGCGTCCTGTTTTCCGCTTCCAAAAGTTGTGGGAAATGCATGGGGATTCAAAGGGATTTTATGGAGTTTACCCTCTGGTAAATTAACATAGACCCTGAAAATCACCAATTTTTAGAGGAAACTAATCTTCCAACCCCTATCTACCAGGGACTATGTTAATTTACTGGAGGGTAAGGGGATTTTATGGGATTTACTGGAGATATAATGGGACTTAATGTTATTTTTTGGGAATAACCAACAATCTGACATATTAATGGAATATCTTTGTTGAAAAATCAGCCGTAAGTAGGAACTCAATGGGATATGTTTTGAGATGCAACTGACCAGTATGATATTGAAAACCTTTTCGTTTGGGTGTGTCTGAAAATTGCATATACCGGATATACCTCATTTACTGGGGGAGGAATAATTAATGAGTGAACTTGGGACCATTTTCAGACAAACTCACACAAGAGTACAACACAGCAAATGTGTGTAAGTATATGATATCGCATACTGACAGGTTTTATGTATATTATATATATAAACATTTACATGTTCATATACAAATAATTATACATGTAAAACGGTGTGGTCTACAATCAGTATTAGCGTCATTCATGTCTTTGTAGCAACCCCCAAAGAATAGAACAGCAAAATCTTTAGTAAGTGATACACACTGGTTGGTGGTATACCTACCCCTCTGAAAAATGATGGAGTTCGTCAGTTGGGATGATGACATTCCCAACTGAATGGAAAGTCATAAAATTCCATGGTTCCAAACCACCAACCAGTGATTATTAACCATGATTAACCATGATTAACCACTATTAACCAGTGATTTTCGGCATCTTTCTGGTACCAATCACCCCTTGACGACGAATCGCGTTTGGACTCAGTCTGCGGCAAAAACTTGAGCTCAAACTTGTCGGTGAACTCCAGGTATTTGTGCCTGTGGCCGAAGTTTTGATGCGGCTTAAGGTTTTAAAATAGGGTATATAGCTATACCCAATATATGGATACATATATGTATACATATATATATATGTATATATATATTAGATGGCACCTCTTGTGGGAAAATAAAAAAAACAACAACCATCGTTTTATGGGAAAATGATCATCAAATTATCAAATTATCAAATTGTGGGGTACCCTATTTTCAGCCAAACCCATATTTCATTGGATTGGTTTAAGGGAAAATCTACAGGAAACCATGGTTTTTACCATCAAATATAGGGCGTTCCTGTAAAATTTCCCATCATCCAATTCTATGAATATTATGAACTGAAAAATCTCTAAATATAGCATTCCATAAGTACCCGACCGCTAGAAGCATTACAACATACTACAACCACCTTTTTCAGTTGAGGTTCATGTTACGTTTTTTTTTTCTGGCATGAGATCATCAAAAACGTATCTAAATCTAAACCTCTTCAAAACCCATTAAACATATCACTGGTTGGTGGTTTCAACCCCTCTGAAAAATATGAAAGTCAGTTGGGATGATTATTCCCAATATATGGAAACATAAAATTCATGTTCCAGACCACCAACCAGATATCTACGCCAATCTGCTCCTCACGAAACACGGAACAGTCAGCGCCCGTTTCTTCGAGTTTCCCGTGAACTGAGCCCAGTACTCATCCTCGCTGAGAGCCTACCAGTCATCCGCTTTTGGGATCTTTTAAGTGACCATTTTTGTGACCTATGAAAACTTGGGGAATCCGGGATGACTGGGGAATCCGGGATGAATATCCATTGAAAACTGATAACAGATATCCGGTCACAACTTTTTTGACAAAAAAAAACACGTAAAAACTTGGGGAATCCGGGATGAATATCCCGGATGAACATCCATTTAAAAATTAAATACAAAACTACCAGCTTACTACCATCTATTTGACCATAAAAAGCCACAAGGGATCGGGTACCGCTGTCTGATCCGTCATGGATGAGATGGTCCGATTTGATAGTGGGTGTGTCTGAAAATGGGTGCAAGTTTGATAGGAGAAATTGGTTTGCAAAAATATTCCCAATATGGGTTGGTGAATATAGCCTCCATTCAACCAGGGAGTATAATCCCCTATTTCAATCTATGACATCACCAATCAACCAAGGTATTTATCAATTACATCCGGTTATGTCTGTGATACAAAACAACCATAAAAAACCTCATAAACCATGGATTTCATCCCATTTCATAACCAAGTTGCTTCTTTTTCATAGCTCAAATGCTGATTCAACCAGTAGATTTGGGGGTTCCGTGCAGCCGAAAAAAAAGGAACCCATGGCCTCTTCTCCTACAACTGCTTTCATGGCGCGAGTGTCCTGGAGTTTCTGCTCCAAAAGATTCCATTTTTCGGCGGTATTTTATGGCGAAAATCCATGGTGAAATTGGGTGACATGTCCATGGTGCATATATGTGCATATACAGATTATATACATGTATATATATATATATATGTGATGGATAACTAGGATTGATGTTTGGTATAGTATATCTATACGTATGGATATCAATGGTATAATCATATAATATACCGTCTGGGGAACTTGAGTGCCTGGGAAAATCCTCCGTGATTGGTCTATGGGTCTATGGCATTGGCCACAGGACAGCACCCAAACGATGAACAGTATTTTACCACTCCCTAAGGATCCATGGTGCTGGAATATTTACCTACATTGGGATTAGTTTAAATTACTTTAGGGGTCAATGTAGGTAAATATTCCATACATGGATCCTCTGGGACTAGTAACACTAGGAGTGGATGTTTCCATCTTCTCGATTGTTTTTGGTGGTTCCTTTACACCCAAAAAAATGTTCCAGACCCATGTTTCAGAGATGCCCCAGACCGGTACGACTCCTGACCAATGGCATAGTTCGCATAAAGCTGGTCGGACACGTTGGGGTGATCGTCACGCGTCATGCCTCCCCGGCTGAGGATTCGTCATGATGAAGGGATTTACACCTTGAAACATGAATTCTAAATAATTCAATCATACTCTGTGGTTGTTTAACATAGCTATGGAACATGACCCATTTATGGATGAATTGTGATGATGATCATGTTTCTTTTTCAGAAATTATGAATTTATCACCACTATTCTAACCATTTCAATGGGGATGTGATGATTTTCTTGACCTCCGCGTCTGCTTGGTAGTTTGTGGATCCCATTCGGGCTTGGAATGGCTCCCCAAGCCTCTGGAAATGTCCCAAAATCCCGATTTGTCTTCATTAGATATCCAGAATGAATGGATTCTACCACCACATTCTATAACGTATCTCAAGTTGGCCATACCCCACAACAAGTATTTGTTTATGTCCTCTACCATTGGTGGGTAATTTATTTTCCAAAACAGGGGTTGGTCTGCTCAGGAATAATCAAGTGTTGCGGGCATTAGTATCCTGGTTGGTGGTTTCAACCCCTCTGAAAAATATGAAAGTCAGTTGGGATGATTATTCCCAATATAATATGGAAAGATAAAAAATGTTCCAAACCACCAACCAGTATCATATGCCCATGTTTGAGTCATAATATCAGCTGGGTACTAGCTATATATATATATATATATATATTCCCTGGTTCATCAACGTGGGATAATTCAGCAAGTGATAAGACGTGATAAACTAGTCCAAACAAAATGATACAAAATCTACAACAAAATCTACATGTTCTGTGTTTTTTTAAGCGCACAAACCATTCTGATTAACCTTTGAAAATGGTAACCCCCCAGCCACTCTCCCCATCTGACATGGCCTTTGCCGATGCCCGACTTCATCAATCGACTCAAGGAAGGAAGCACCTGAGATTCGCTGGTTTCGAGCCCAAGCCCTCTGAAAAATGATGGAGTAACACTTGGGATGATGAAGATCTCCAAATTAATATAGAAAAAAATAATCAAAAGCCATGTTCCAAACCACCAACCAGTGATTATTAACCATGATTAACCATGATGAACCACTATTAACCAAATGTTGCAAACCACCAACCAGAAATTCATAGTGGATTTTCCAGGTTTGATTGCCCATTGCGGTTGATCAACCCATCCCCCCACCCTCCGCTTGGTTTTCTGCACGTTGATGGGAGGATAGATCTGCCTGTTATGCAGAGATCGATCGACAAAGACCTGGCGAAACATGTCGGTGAAACCATCCTGCTGACAGCAAAACATGGCAGGAGAATCATAAATTATATCATATATGTGTATAATTGTGTATATATATATATTAAATTATCCCATATCTAGGATGCACAATTCTAAAATCATCTGTTGATCTGAAGCCATCAAACCAGCATCCATGGATTTTATACTCACGCTTTGTGCGTTTTCTGTTGAACGAGGCAACCTCGTTGCACTGAGGGTTGATGTCAACGCCGATGCCCATCATCCAACATCGAACTTTGGAGCTTTGAACGTAGGGGGACACTACTCTTTTTCAGACACACAAAAAAATATATCATACTTCTTGCATTAAAATATATAGCCAAAAATATTATCCTATATTCCCTGATATTCTCTTTTATTCACTTATATATATTATATTCCCATGAAATCCTCATTTAGACATGAATTTCATGGATTTTCCCCAAACACATAGTACATTTAATCCAGTCTCACATCTTACAGTTCCTGTCTCTTCAAGTCTGCCTGGCCCTCGGTGATGTAGCCCGTCAAATCCGGGATCGGGTGCGTAATGTCCTGGACGAACATCCATACAATGGGGCCGGCCCGGCCCCCTAGTTATAGCTTGGTTTATAGTTCTTTATAAGAGCTATTCGAGTTCAGTTATAAGGTACTTAAATTTACTCTTCACTTCAGTTATAACCTTCAGCTGAACTTGGGGGGGTTCCACCTTATAACTGCCAACTGTTGCACTGCGAAAGCCAGGGTATCAGGGTTTGACCTATACCCATTCTACACGCCACAAGAAATACTCAGAATGGCTGCGAATAAATAGCTACAGTAAAGATTGAATACCTTCACTATGGTTTATGATAGATATATCAGTACTATTCCTATGGTTTATAAACCAACTTATAACCATCACTGGGGGGGTACCACAATTGTATTCCTAAGAAACATTCAACTGCAAACTGGAGTGTTTGTCCCAACAGAACGGGCCAAAATCTCAAAATGTCGTGGGATGTCGTGGGATCCAGACGGTTGAGGCTCCACACATCGTTGGGCATGGTGAGAATCGGGAATTGAGTAATCGATCCATTGCCTAAGGTGCTGAGTCGAACAGTCCCAATGGCTGGAAGCATCCCTCTTGATCTCATCCTCTAATATTCAAGATCCCCCAAAAATGGTCCCAAATATGGCAGTGTGCCAAAACCTTGTACCCCTGTAGTTCACATCAAAATAGCTGGGATTTATGGATGTTCATCCCTCTAAAAATGGTATGTATAGGTATTGATCCATACCTATGTGTTTACATCCCTTACTTTTTACCATTGTTTCTAGGGCCTAGGGATCCTAGGGGCTGTTGGACAAGCAGGTGGTGGTGACTCGGCGAGTTCAGTGTTTACCGATGAAAACCACTAAAAATTGTGGTTTCCGAAAATTCAGAGAAACCACACAAAAGCAGTTTTCTCATTAAAATCATTTAAAATCATTCATTTGGGTTGTTCCCAACATGGTCATGAACAAAAACCATTAATTTTCCAAAACACACATGACCAGTAACTTAGCTGATAACCTGGTAACCCAAGTTTAACCCCAAAACAATGGGACCATTTCGCCTTCAAAACCTGGTGCCCCATTTCTGCATTGCAATGTTTTCATGGTGGACCCACGACGACATCAGGAACTTACCCTTTCGACAGGCTGGTCGACAGCATGATATACATATGCTATACATTGCTATACAATCTGAAGAAAATACACGCATCATCAAGTATATATATTCTTTCCTAAACAAGATTTAAGGCCGTTTGGGGTTGATTTCTCCCGCTTGGCATCTATGATGAGGTCAAATCTCAAATGGGGCCGGGGCCGCTATAATTTACTCAGAGGCAGGAAATTGCAGAAAATCATGTTCTACCAAGCCTGGGAGTGTTCCTCCCTCTTTCAACAGTCTTGATATTGTATGATATCCCCAACCCATTGATATGATGTTCATTGATTTTCCATGAAATCCCCATTGTTAATCATTAAATCTCCATTAAAAAAAAAACATGAAATCCCACTGCGCAGTTTCAAACGGGCCCTTCTCTCAGCTTCCTACGACCCTCCACGCGCCCTGCGCGCTCGTAGATGGTGGACAGGTCCTTAGGGGAGACCCAGTGGAAATGGACGACCTGTGGGTTATCAAGAAATCATCCGTAAATGGGCTTTAATTCATCGAGATATCATGAGAAAACCATCTAGAAATGGGGATTAAATGGACATATAACTGGGTATAATGGGATATATATATATATATACACATGTGTATATATATATATATGTACATATACATATATATATATATATATAACTGAACCTCCCAGAGGTTTACAGGACATTTTACAGGAAACCCTCATATTGAGGTAAAAAAACCCGGGTTTCCTGTGGATTCTTCCTTCGGCCAATCCACTGGGATATCTGTTTGACAATTGTGGAACAGTTGAAGAGGGCAAACATCTGCAAGTAAAATCTGCAAATCGTTTCACTGTTTCTCATTATTGCATCCCTTCAATGTATCTGCCAGCCAAGGAACTATTCTAACATGTAAATGATTGCAAATGGAATGACATCGCCAAGTTCTGTCTGGTAGCACAGCCCAACAAGAATGCTATTTCATGCTGGGAGAATTACAGGCTGAACCAGCAACAAATAGTTGTTGTCAGTTCACTGGATACAAACAATGTTGACGCAGCTTCCACCGTTTCTTTCCAGCCGTTAGATATGTAGCCAGGAGGAACGCTGTGGAAGACTGGGTGGCAGACATATTGATGTTCCAGAGGAGGAGACATAATAGTAAATGCATCCGAAATAGTACAGGGCTGTAAGTGGTTTATAATCTAGAACCTACAAATAACCCTAATATATAACCCATATATAAAAAATCAATTATATACATAAACCATATATAACCCGTATATATATATATATACCTGGAAAGCCGTAGTTGCCTATTGTTTCAGGCTACTTTGGCCTGGTAGCCCCTTTTTGTGGCACTTTGCAATTCTCACACCAAAAAAGGGCACTTCATCTTTTGCTGCAAAAATGACCGTAAAAGTGCCGTAAATATCCGTAAAGTGCCATAAATACCCGTAGAAATCCTACTCCTAAAATGGTATACTTTCCAGTGACCAAAATTTCGGGCACTTTGGAAAGTGCCCAAAACAATGGGCACTAGGCGTTCCAGGTATATAAAGCGGCTTATAACGTGGTGATCACCCAGAATTTACGATTCCTGGCAGCTCAGAAGCGCTGCTCTGACTCCAGCACCATCAGAAAACTAAGGACCTCACGGTGTACCTGTCCAATCTACGGATGTCACGGGATAATACAGATAAATCATCTGGGGATTGAATGGGAATATACCCGGCCTGGTCAACGTTTACATAACGAACTGGTTAATAGTGGTTATAGTGGTTATATAATCCTGGTTAATCATGGTTAATAATCTCTGGTAAACGTTTACATAACGAACTGGAAAGATCCACCATTTTTCATGGGAAAACTCACTATTTCAATGGTCATTTTCAATAGTTTTTTGTATGTTTACCAGAGGGTAGTTGGGTGCGTCTGAACATGGGGCAAAAACCTCCAAATGGCCGTCAAAACATAGGGAACATATATATAATGACAAACCATTTGGATTTAGGGGTACCACGGTAGTACCATGGTTTTTAGAGAAACATAGAGAAACCAGCATCACAAAGTCACAAAGGGCGCGCTTGTGATGCATGTTTCTCTGCCAGTCATTTGCTTGCGAAGGTAAAAAATAGGGACACACCACTTGGTTTCCCCTATTGTGTGTGTGCGAGACATTTGAAACATGTCTGTTTTGCACCCCATTTTAAGGCTTGATCAGTTGATTCCAGTTGATCCCAGATATCCCAGCTGAGAGGGCACATGTAACCAGGATAACCTCGTCGTCCTGGCACTTCTTCTCGGGCTGCCGACACCTCACGATTTCAGTGGCGTGTGGCATGTTCGTCCCGCTTTACCAGGGCAGTTTCAACAGTGTCTCATTCCCTAAACACCAACTTCATATATCGTAGCCATCTGTAGAAGTAAATCTGATTGATAGGATGAATGCCGAGAAGATCGGCAGGCCGCCATCAACCACTATCACGAAGCAGCAAATTGGAAGTTATACATGTATGCATGCATGCATGCATGGATGCATGTCGGTGTATGTCGGTATATGTCTGTCGGTGTATGTCTGTCGGTGTATGTCGGTGTATGTCGATGTATGTCGACGTATGTCGATGTATGTCAATGTATGATGTATGTATGTCTGTCTGTATGTATGTATGTATGTTTGTTTGTTTCCATGTATGTATTTATGTATGTAATGGTCTGTAATAAAATGTAATGTAATGTGATGTCATGTAATGTAATGTATGTATGCATGCTTGTATGTACGTGTGTTCTTTTCTTTTTTTGAACTGCTTTTCTTCTTCCTCTTTCCTTCTTGCACAGACTTGGAATTAGGCTTGCGACTGCGGCCTTCCTCGCTGGATGATTAAGCTAGACATTATGCATGTGTAAACGCATAACGCATATTGTATACATATTATATATACAAATACATATATATATATGTAATGATAATAATAATAACGGTGATAATGACAATGAAAATAATCTGTATATATATATATGTATATACATATAGCTAATATAGATAAACAGAATAGAATAGAACAGAATAGAATAGAACAGAATAGAACAAAATAGAATAAAACACAATAGATATACACATGTGGTGTGGGCTTGTATAGAAGTGGAGGGCCTACCCCACAACGGCCGATTCAATTTCTGGACACCGCCATGCTCCGCCTCTCGCAAGGCGTCTGCGTAGGAGCTCATGTCAGTGAGAATCACAAAGACCTCGGCGTCCATGGTGACCCTCCAATAACATATATATATATGTCATTAAAAAATATTATATAATAGTTTAATAGAACATTGATATAGACTGCATGCGGTTATATATATATAACCATGTTGTGTAACCATGTATACGTATACATTATGTATACCAAACATAGATATACGTATGTGCCTACGGGTTGAAAACCGAACCAGCGTTTTGCATGTTTTTATGTCATTCATGGGGTTAACGGGGTGGGGTGGGGTGGGGTAATAACGTTCATTGGCACTTCCTCACATATATGATGCTTCGTTATTGTGTGGGGTGGGGTGGGGTGGGGTGGGGTAATAACGTTCATTGGCACTCTTCACATACATGATGCTACGTTATTGTATGTCGTCTTGCACTTCTTCACATATATGATGCTACGCTACTGTAATTCGTCTGGCACTTCCTCACATACATGATGCTACGTTATTGTATGTCGTCTTGCACTTCCTCACATACATGATGCTACGTTATTGTATGTCGTCTTGCACTTCTTCACATACATGATGCTACGCTACTGTAATTCGTCTTGCACTTCCTCACATACATGATGCTACGTTATTGTATGTCGTCTTGCACTTCCTCACATACATGATGCTACGTTATTGTATGTCGTCTTGCACTTCTTCACATACATGATGCTACGCTACTGTAATTCGTCTTGCACTTCCTCACATACATGATGCTACGTTATTGTATGTCGTCTTGCACTTCCTCACATACATGATGCTACGTTATTGTATGTCGTCTTGCACTTCGTCACATACATGATGCTACGCTACTGTAATTCGTCTGGCACTTCCTCACATACATGATGCTACGTTATTGTATGTCGTCTTGCACTTCCTCACATACATGATGCTGCGTTATTGTATGTCGTCTTGCACTTCTTCACATACATGATGCTACGCTACTGTAATTCGTCTTGCACTTCCTCACATACATGATGCTACGTTATTGTATGTCGTCTTGCACTTCCTCACATACATGATGCTACGCTATTGTATGTCGCCTTGCACTTCTTCACATACAAGATGCTACGCTACTGTACTTCGTCGTGCACTTCCTCACATACATGATTGTACGCTATTGTATGTCGTCTTGCACTTCCTCACATACATGATGCTACGTTATTGTATGTCGTCTTGCACTTCTTCACATATATGATGCTACGCTATTGTATGTCGTCTTGCACTTCCTCACATACATGATGCTACGTTATTGTATGTCGTCTTGCCTAAGAATCTTCATACGAAGAGTGCTAGGAATCCAACCTTGCTCAATGGCAAGATTTGGACGCATGTTCGCGCTTGGCAGTGGCAATGGGAAAACAGTTCCCACAAAAACCTGTCCAAGCTCACTGCACAGATTGTCAAGAACACTTAGCGCAGAAAAAAAGAGAGTGCCGCTGAGGTTTTTTACATTTCCAGTCAAAAGTACGCGCGTACTTTTTAAGGAAATTGCACTTTCAGGGAAATGAGAAACCACTGTGATTTGTGGTATAAAATCAATGTCGAACACTGCAAACGTTGAAAACGCGGGTTCGATAAACAACCCGCCGGGACGTATGTGTATATAACATCTCGCAATTATTTACACAACTGATCTTTGACGGGGACCCATACACCTGCAGTGCTTACTCAACGTGTGACTTTGGCCATGGCTTAAACAAAATCAAACATTGAAGCACCACTAGCAATGGACCCAAACGTAGTCCTATCTGACCTATCCAAATAGTTCCAATAAAACCCTAGAATCTACTTGGCGGTTTCAACCCCTCTGAAAAAAATATGAGTTCGTCAGTTGGGATGATTATTCCCATATATTATGGAAAATAAAAGACATGTTCCAAACCACCAACCAGTCTAATATATATATATATATATATATACCCTCTAGTTATTTAACATAGCCATGGAAAATCACCATTTTATAGCTAGGTAAACCATCTATTTCTATGGGCCATGTTCCATGGCTATGTTAAATAATCAGAGGGTATATATATATATGGGTATGGGTCAAAATTAGGTACCCCAAAATTATGGATGGTTAATACTAAACTAGACTAACATCTGTGGTCCCCTAGGTCTTCCATTTTGACCCACATCCATATATTTCCAAGAGGTGAGTAATCCACATGATGCTTTCCAATATCCCCACTATGGGTTAAACCTCCCCTGTCTCAACCCAGCTGAACGATGATCCTCAGGCCGAAACATGCTGCTCGCGCGTGTACCTTCACAACGAAAGCACTGCCATCCTATCCTGTTGTTTTTTGTTTGGGTCATCTATCTCGTTTTTATATGTTTTTATCTGGTGATTTCATTAGTAAACCACATCGTTTGCAAACCATTTGATGCCATTTTGGTGGATCGTTTGATCCTCTGCCAACTGTTGCACACGACTGCTTACATATCCCGGAGATTAGAATTGATCCAAATGTAGAGGTTTCCTAAAATGTTGCTATGTTATATACCAAAAAAAAAACATGAATTTTCCCATAAATTGATAATCATCAACCAATTTTGGATAGGACACCTCGACAAACCCCGCTGCGCACGCGAAGTATTCCGCAGTGGTCAAAGCCAAACGGGGCGTCACGATACGTTCGATGGTTGGGTCCTGATCCCCCAGGGATGGGACGTTGACAAAAAAAATGAACAACCGCCACACAAAATGGAGGTTTAATGGGAAAAACATGGAAAAACATGGAAAAACAACTATAAATTCAATGGATTTCAATGGTGGATTTTTTGAGCCATGTTTATGATGTTTGAGTACTGAAGGGTACCAAGCAGCAACGCTATGCATGCCATGCGAAATCAGTATTTCATCTGGCCATGAAAAAACAGCCATAGCCCGCCTATGCCCGCCTCAACGCTTGATCCTCAGGCCCAGACATTGGCCAAGTTCATGAAGAGTACCACGTTTTCCATAGATCCGTTCCTCGTTCTGCATGGCATCCGAAACACATGGACTTGGCATGACTTGGCAGCTGGCAGTGATAAACGGAAATTAGAATCGATTAATGTGGATGTCTATTATGGACATCTATATATATATATTATATTATATATATTATATATGATATTATATATATTATATTATATATAATATAATATAAAATATAATATAAAATATAATATAAGATAAGATAATATAATATAATATAATATATATATTATATTATATAACTATAAATTAATTATATATATCATAAGGTAGAGATGTAATGGAGATATATGATGGAAGTTATAATAGAAACAAAAACAAGTGACCAACAAATTGATGAATCTCGACCATTTGGGGATAGCTACCATCATTCCAGTGATGCGACAGCTTCAGTCGCCACGTCTCAGCCGGGTGATGTGTACCCTCTGGTAATTTGTTAAGCTATACATAGCTATGGAAAATCACCCGGCAATTACAAATGGCAAATAAGCCATGGCTTCCATGGCAAACTATTCGTTTACTGGAGGGTACATGACATTCCCTGAAAATGTGACCTTGATAAACCCCTGCGGCCCTGAAGACAAGTCAAATTGCAAACTCTTAGCTTCCGCACTCTTCGAAGTCGTTCCTGAAGAAACGCGCCGTCTCCATATTGACACCTGATGCAAAAATGCTTCATTCGGTGTCAGTCAGCTGCAAGAGAGGATTACACACGCATATATATATATATATAATTATATATATATATCGCATCCAACTTGCTTATCAATACCTCCAGTACCGCCAAAAAGGGGTTACATATTCCTTGGAATCTTCACAAGCAAATGGATTAAAAAGCAAGAAAACAAGTCCCGAAACTATTTCTGATCCGTTCCCAAGTCCTGGCACGCACATAAATCACAGGATCTTAGTGTCCCAGCTGGGTCTAAAACTTATGGGAACAACAATTCCATTCACCGGTTAGTCATCATCCCATATCATCCCTATTAAATGGTCATCTGTTGTTTTCTGAGGCTTTTTGGTTCCGGTAATGAAACGTGGCAATAGAATGCAATAGACCATCCACCATTGATTGGTGTCGGGATTTCCAGATAGTCATGGTCCATGACCCTCTGGTAAACTAGCAGTTTGCTAAAAAATGGCCCAGTCGAAATAGTTGATTTACCAGTTAAACATCAGTGGATCTTTCCATAGCTATGTTAGTCATTACCAGAGGGTAAATTATCATTCATCCCCATTAATTAATCACCATTAATTTCATTATTAACCACCACTAAATCCCATTAATCACCATTAATCACCATTAATCATCATTAATCACCATTAATCACCACTAAATCCCATTATAATCACCATTAATCACCATTAATCATCATTGATCACCAGAGGATAAAAATCCCAAAATTGTCCATCCTGAAAGCTTCGACCGGTAGCCGTCCAAGGCACCCATGGCCCCGAAGACAATGCTGAAGTTTTCCTGCGAATGGTCCGACACCTGAGCCACGGTCCAAGCTGCCAAAAGGTGTCGCCCATGAAATACTGGTTGGGGTCATGGGTTATCCAGAGAATCAGGATGAATTAGAAAAAATAGAAGTAGGCTGATTCAAGTCATTTGATGTCACAGTACGGTCGTTATAATCTATCCTGCAGTGATATTCTCACCCCAAGTAAACCAGGTAGTATCACCCACTTTGAGAATCCATAACGAGGGGTACCCTCTGGTAATTTAACGTAGCTATGGAAAATCACCATTTTTAATGGGAAAATCCACTATAAATGGCCATTTTCAATAGCTATTTTGACATAACCAGAGGGTATATTTTGTGGCTGAATTTAGACGCATCCTCAGTGCTAGTCACTGTGACTCCCCCCAAATCTTGATAATTCTGCGATGATGAGCCCGCTACGTATTTGATGATTGGCTTTAAGTCCAACGGTAGGGTACCCTGAAATCCACTGAGTTAGCATTATTTCCTTAATGAATTGGACTGTGTTGGGGTATAACCGGACCCCATTTTCAAACATACCCAAAAATCATCAAAAATCAGCAGAGGTTGGTTCCATAATCTCCAGTCTGGTCCCATTGCCATATTGTTGGTTGGCTACAATCTGAGCATGGCACATCCTTGCCCTTCACCAGAGACGCTTGTCGGCACACCTGGCCCAGGGAACCCTTGCTGGAAAATCCCCTATTTCGTTCGATGATTTTTTCCATTAAATGACAATCTCCCGTCGGTGTGGGGATTTCCTGACTAGCCATGTTTGATTGCAAAATAGTACTTCTTTACCCTTCAAACATTCCTAAACTCACCGAGACACTGTATGGCACTGGCTTGTCCCCACCTGTGCAGCGATCTCGTTGTGCGGAAGGCCTGCAGCCTCGGCCAGGCCAAGGACTGTGCTGGGTGGGGATTGACCCCCAATTCATGATGGGATTCCCAGATTTGTCTTAACCAAGTAGTACTCATCGTGAAGACAACCGTGGGAATATGATGATGACTCTCAACCGTAAAACGCGGGGATTTCACGAAGACAATCAATTTAAGGCATATACTGGGGATATAAGGGAGAAAAATGGGATACTAACCAACCATCTTATTGAAATCCAATGAGACATTATGGGATAGAATGGCGAACACTTCGATTTTTTGCCAACTGTGTGGGAGGTGTAGGGGAATGTGCCCAGTTAACCAGGCAATCCCCTATAGTTCACATCAAAATAGCTGGTATCTAAATGGAGATGTTCATATCCCCAGTCATATGGTAGTCCAAAACCTGGGATGAATGGGGTAAGGTCCTCCCCATCCCACGAGGGGAAATTGGGGATGACCATCTCCTTCTCTGAGAACATGACCCATGTTTTGACCATAGCACTCATGGGGTTGTTGCAACATGGGGGATACCACATATTCTAGCAATTTTAATGAGGATAATTATGATACACCATGGGATTTGCGCATGTTTTTTAAACAAACACACATCATTCTGAAACTGCAGGTCCTCCAACCGCAGCCCATGTGCTGGTCCCGGAGTCTTGCATTTTGACCATGCGGATATGTAATATATCCGCCGACCCCTGCCGTCAGCAGGGGGAGCGCGTCAGAGGAGGCCTTACTAGCAACAAGATGCCAGAAGGGGCGAAGAGTTTGCGCAGAACGAAAGCCGGCTCCAGGAGGACACGAGCAGGGTGGCAGTTGGCAGTGCAGAAACGCAGGAAAAGTCAAGGTTTGGAGCTAGTTTCTAGTCGGTTCAGAAAGTGACGTTTGGCAGTCTGGGATACGGGCCGCGGGCCCAATCCGTCCTTCACTGCCATGGTGTTTTTTAGCCCTGCGACACGGTCCTTGGACTCCAGCTTGGACCGAAGCGGTGCAGAACGAAAGCCGGCTCCAGGAGGACACGAGCAGGGTGGCAGTTGGCAGTGCAGAAACGCAGGAAAAGTCAAGGTTTGGAGCTAGTTTCTAGTCGGTTCAGAAAGTGACGTTTGGCAGTCTGGGATACGGGCCGCGGGCCCAATCCGTCCTTCACTGCCATGCGCCCTGCGACACTGTCCTTGGACTCCAGCTTGGACCGAAGCGGTGCAGAACGAAAGCCGGCGCCAGGAGGACACGAGCAGGGTGGCAGTTGGCAGTGCAGAAACGCAGGCAAAGTCAAGGTTTGGAGCTAGTTTCTAATCGGTTCAGAAAGTAACGTTTGGCACTCTGGGCTACGGGCCGCAGAACGAAAGCCGGCTCCAGGAGGACACGAGCAGGGTGGCAGTTGGCAGTGCAGAAACGCAGGAAAAGTCAAGGTTTGGAGCTAGTTTCTAGTCGGTTCAGAAAGTGACGTTTGGCAGTCTGGGATACGGGCCGCGGGCCCACTCCGTCCTTCACTGCCATGGTGTTTTAGCCCTGCGACACGGTCCTTGGACTCCAGCTTGCACCGAAGCGGTGCAGAACGAAAGCCGCCGGCTCCAGGAGGACAGGAGCAGGGTGGCAGTTGGCAGTGCAGAAACGCAGGAAAAGTCAAGGTTTGGAGCTAGTTTCTAGTCGGTTCAGAAAGTGACGTTTGGCAGTCTGGGATACGGGCCGCGGGCCTAATCCGTCCTTCACTGCCATGGTGTTTTAGCCCTGCGACATGCGACACGGTCCTTGGACTCCAGCTTAGACCGAAGCGGTGCAGAACGAAAGCCGGCGCCAGGAGGACACGAGCAGGGTGGCAGTTGGCAGTGCAGAAACGCAGGTAAAGTCAAGGTTTGGAGCCGCAGAACGAAAGCCGGCTCCAGGAGGACACGAGAAGGGTGGCAGTTGGCAGTGCAGAAACGCAGGAAAAGTCAAGGTTTGGAGCTAGTTTCTAGTCGGTTCAGAAAGTGACGTTTGGCAGTCTAGGATACGGGCCGCGGGCCCAATCCGTCCTTCACTGCCATGGTGTTTTAGCCCTGCGAGGAGGTCCCTTGACCGGAGCTGTGCCGCACGAAAGCCAGCTGTCACACAATGCAGGCAAGTTGGCAGTTGGCAGTGCAGGAAGGCAGGGAAAAGCAAGGTTTGAAGCTAGTTTCTAGGCAGTTCAGAAAGCAACGTTAGGCACCGTGGGCTGCCGGCTGCGGGCTCAATCCGTCCTTCACTGCCATGGTGTTTTAGCCCTGCGACACGGTCCTTGGACTCCAGCTTGGACCGAAGCGGTGCAGAACGAAAGCCGGCTCCAGGAGGAGCAGGGTGGCAGTTGGCAGTGCAGAAACGCAGGAAAAGTCCAGGTTTGGAGCTAGTTTCTAGTCGGTTCAGAAAGTGACGTTTGGCAGTCTGGGATACGGGCCGCGGGCCCAATCCGTCCTTCACTGCCATGGTGTTTTAGCCCTGCGACACGGTCCTTGGACTCCAGCTTGGACCGAAGCGGTGCAGAACGAAAGCCGGCTCCAGGAGGACACGAGCAGGGTGGCAGTTGGCAGTGCAGAAACGCAGGAAAAGTCAAGGTTTGGAGCTAGTTTCTAGTCGGTTCAGAAAGTGACGTTTGGCAGTCTGGGATACGGGCCGCCGACACAATCCGTCCTTCACTGCCATGGTGTTTTTTAGCCCTGCGACACGGTCCTTGGACTCCAGCTTAGACCGAAGCGGTGCAGAACGAAAGCCGGCTCCAGGACGACACGAGCAGGGTGGCAGTTGGCAGTGCAGAAACGCAGGTAAAGTCAAGGTTTGGAGCCGCAGAACGAAAGCCGGCTCCAGGAGGACACGAGCAGGGTGGCAGTTGGCAGTGCAGAAACGCAGGAAAAGTCAAGGTTTGGAGCTAGTTTCTAGTCGGTTCAGAAAGTGACGTTTGGCAGTCTGGGATACGGGCCGCGGGCCCAATCCGTCCTTCACTGCCATGGTGTTTTAGCCCTGCGACACGGTCCTTGGACTCCAGCTTGGACCGAAGCGGTGCAGAACGAAGGCCGGCTCCAGGAGGACACGAGCAGGGTGGCAGTTGGCAGTGCAGAAACGCAGGAAAAGTCAAGGTTTGGAGCTAGTTTCTAGTCGGTTCAGAAAGTGACGTTTGGCAGTCTGGGATACGGGCCGCGGGCCCAATCCGTCCTTCACTGCCATGGTGTTTTAGCCCTGCGACACGGTCCTTGGACTCCAGCTTGGACTGGACCGAAGCGGTGCAGAACGAAAGCCGGCTCCAGGAGGACACGAGCAGGGTGGCAGTTGGCAATGCAGAAACGCAGGAAAAGTCAAGGTTTGGAGCTTATTTCTAGTTGGTTCAGAAAGTGACGTTTGGCAGCCTGGGATACGGGCCGCGGGCCCAATCCGTGCTTCTCTGCCATGGTGTTTTAGCCCTGCGACACGGTCCTTGGACTCCAGCTTAGACCGAAGCGGTGCAGAACGAAAGCCGGCTCCAGGACGACACGAGCAGGGTGGCAGTTGGCAGCGCAGAAACGCAGGAAAAGTCAAGGTTTGGAGCTAGTTTCTAGTCGGTTCAGAAAGTGACGTTTGGCAGTCTGGGATACGGGCCGCGGGCCCAATCCGTCCTTCACTGCCATGGTGTTTTAGCCCTGCGACACGGTCCTTGGACTCCAGCTTGGACCAAAGCGGTGCAGAACGAAAGCCGGCGCCAGGAGGACACGAGCAGGGTGGCAGTTGGCAGTGCAGAAACGCAGGTAAAGTCAAGGTTTGGAGCTAGTTTCTAGTCGGTTCAGAAAGTAACGTTTGGCACTCTGGGCTACGGGCCGCAGAACGAAAGCCGGCTCCAGGAGGACACGAGCAGGGTGGCAGTTGGCAATGCAGAAACGCAGGAAAAGTCAAGGTTTGGAGCTAGTTTCTAGTCGGTTCAGAAAGTGACGTTTGGCAGTCTGGGATACGGGCCGCGGGCCCAATCCGTCCTTCACTGCCATGGTGTTTTAGCCCTGCGACACGGTCCTTGGACTCCAGCTTGGACCGAAGCGGTGCAGAACGAAAGCCGGCTCCAGGAGGACACGAGCAGGGTGGCAGTTGGCAGTGCAGAAACGCAGGAAAAGTCAAGGTTTGGAGCTAGTTTCTAGTCGGTTCAGAAAATTACGTTTGGCAGTCTGGGGTCCTTCACTGCCATGGTGTTTTAGCCCTGCGACACGGTCCTTGGACTCCAGCTTGGACCGAAGCGGTGCAGAACGAAAGCCGGCTCCAGGAGGACACGAGCAGGGTGGCAGTTGGCAGTGCAGAAACGCAGGAAAAGTCAAGGTTTGGAGCTAGTTTCTAGTCGGTTCAGAAAGTGACGTTTGGCAGTCTGGGATACGGGCCGCGGGCCTAATCCGTCCTTCACTGCCATGGTGTTTTAGCCCTGCGACACCTTCCTTGGACTCCAGCTTAGACCGAAGCGGTGCAGAACGAAAGCCGGCTCCAGGAGGACACGAGCAGGGTGGCAGTTGGCAGTGCAGAAATGCAGGTAAAGTCAAGGTTTGGAGCCGCAGAACGAAAGCCGGCTCCAGGAGGACACGGGCAGGGTGGCAGTTGGCAGTGCAGAAACGCAGGAAAAGTCAAGGTTTGGAATGGTTTGGAGCTAGTTTCTAGTCGGTTCAGAAAGTGACGTTTGGCAGTCTAGGATACGGGCCGCGGGCCCAATCCGTCCTTCACTGCCATGGTATTTTAGCCCTGCGACACGGTCCTTGGACTCCAGCTTGGACCGAAGCTGTGCAGAACGAAAGCCGGCTCCAGGAGGACACGAGCAGGGTGGCAGTTGGCAGTGCAGTGTCGTCTCGGGTCTCTTTAGGATGCCATTTCAAGTTTCATACTGCGGTTACGAACGGGGGCTTCGGGTATGGGTCTTAAGTGCTAGAGCAACCCTTTAGGTCCCCAAGACACCTGCCCAATGACGAAAGCTCCTATTTCTTGAGCCATGAAAAAGTGTCAGAGCACATAGTTGTGCGTGTCATCCTGCAGGGGTCCATGCTGCTTGCATGTGCACAGTGCCAAACGCACATACAAATGGTTTGTTTAGGTCAGTTTCTGGTTTCTTTAGGGTTCATTTCATGCTTACGACACAGAGGCAGGCATGACCCTCCAGTGTCCAGGGGTCGGCGGCAGAGGGCGTAGCCCTTTAATATATATATATATAATTATATATATATATATGTCAATTGCATATAAATGAGCTATTGTTTGGGTTTATGGATTGAGTGGGATCCCTACACCCTTTCTTCTTATGGCTACCTGTAGCGTTAGCAATCACTCATTGCAACTATGGCTCATGGCAGAAACCCATTCTGCTAAAAATGACAAAGTAGCTGCTCAAATTTCTCATGTCTTCAAATATGTAATATCCCCATTCATTGTGTATATATATAATCATATATATATATATATTATAAATATATAAACGTTGTTGTTCCCTCAACATTGAATACATCCCGGGAAACTCCACCGGTATGGGGGGGTATTTAAACTAACAGAATGGAAACTGGCCCATTTAGTTTGAGGATTACATATGAAACATCCTGATTTTCCACATCTATGTTAATTTACAGTATATAAAAACATAGTAAAACCATAGTAAATAAATATAGTAAAATCCAAGTAAAACCATTGTAAAAGCATAGTAAACTCCACATATTGTGACTTTCCACATTGTAAAACCATAGTAAACCCAGATGGAAAACTAGCCGACTGGCCAACCTTTCCCGTACCGTTCAGCTGCGGCACAGAGAAGAGTGGCAACTTCTGGCCACGCACCACTGAGTTCATAGTGTCGATGGCACTGATGCCGGTCCTGGTGTCGAACGCATGGCTGAAACATGTGAGTCACGGCTGAAAAACAAACATCTAAGCTGGGTAAAACATATCCATATATCTATGATTATCTATGTATAATAATACATAAAGCTATAATAGTTCAGAGTAATTTGTACAAGAAATTAGCAATAAGAGTAATTAATGCATATGACAATTTAATTCTGTAAATTACATATGGTAGTTCACTGATTCTTGTTTAAACAATTCACCAACCTGAAAATGCATGGTCGTGGTGACTCACCGTGAGGTGGCTAGAATTGACCAAGCAATCTTGATTTTGTTGTCCTGAAAACATGGAGAGTTCAGATGCAACTTATTGGCTGTCCAGTTTGCAACGCAAATTTCGCTTGGCTGCAGAATTTCTGGCTGAACCCCATATGTTGCTGGTCAAACTATCCAAGGTCGCAGCAAAACTGTGACAGTCTGTCAATCAAAAAAACTTGTGTTGAAAGGAAGCAGTAGATTAAAAAAATGGCTTCAGTCAAGGAAAATCCGCAGACTATCATCCAAAATACACCATCTATAGCCATCCTTTCTGATTTTGCTGCCAAATCCTTTCTCGATCACTCACGGAGATTTCTTTCGGGTGCGCGATGAGGCGCTGACTGAATCATCTCTTTTGGGTAGACTCGCGACCTGAGGATCCGATGATCCAGCATGGCAATTGGTCGAAATTGCCCCCATCTGTAGGTGACTTTCCCACAGGTTTGCGAACTTGAAAAGCCATAGAAATCGTTGATTGACCCCCTTTGAAAGATGGTGGTTTTCCGTAGCTAAGTGGTAGTTTACCAGAGGGTATATGATACCAATATCTGATTCTTGAATATTCTTGATTGATAGATGACTGGATTGATAACATTAAACACCCCCAGAAAACATGGTTTAGAAAATTAGTGGTAGTTTACCAGAGGCTAAGGGATGTTCACTTGTCGTTTTCCAAGCGACTTGGGATTCAGGGGAGCTCCGCCGATGTCCAGGAACTCCTCCGCCAACACTCCGGGCCTAGAAGCGCGGCAGGAAATGCCGGGAGCAATTTTGAAACATCCCCTGGAAATGGGAGAATCCCTTCATATAATGGAAGTTTTAATGGGAAAATCAGGTTTTAATGAGAAAATCCTTTATAAACGGAGGTTTTAATAGGAACATCCCTTCATTGTTTTAATGAGAAAATCCTTTATAAACGGAGGTTTTAATAGGAACATCCCTTAGAAATGGCAATTTAAATGGAAAAGTAGACCATTTTAGTATTGAAACCTATGGTTTTGGGGATCACCCATTTTACGAACCCCCCAATCGTACCAGATGGTGTAAACATCATCTGCAAATGGTGGATTTCTATTACTCTTGCTGGATCTTGTTACATCTGAATTTGTTTGAAATAGGGCACCCCAAAATACAATGGCTTATCATCACTTTCCCTAACAAGGGTGTTATTTGGATTTGTTTGGTGCAAGAAACTCAAACACACCTTTCTTTTTTGCAAAATACTTACAGTAAGTCACTACAGTCAGGTAAAACCAATAATTTAATCTATCCCCAGTATTACATAGTATGACAATGTATTAAACTATTACATTTATATACGTCATATAACATCATATTAACTACCATAGATGTCCATAATAATTATCCATAAATGCGTTATAAGAATCCTCCCCACAAAATGCTTCAAAACTCTGAAACCACGGATGATTTGGGTTCCCCTGACCCCTTGTCGATGGGCTTTCCCGAACCGTTGAAGGCTCGACCTCAGCGGCCGACCACAGTGCATCACAACAGCACAGCATGCAAAACTTCACACAATTTCTGAATTAGATTCCCAACAAAAACAATACAAAAAAAAAAAACAGTTAAATACTATGTTAAACTATAGCTATCATCAGCTATCAAATAATCTGTCATCGTCCATGGTCAAATCCTGCCAAAGCCATGGCATCTGTGGCATCGCACCCATCAAATCATCAGAGATGGGCATCTTCAAGGTGTCACCGGTGAATTCGATGTGGCAATCCCTCGATGCCACAGGCGAGTGGTCGGCTCGGCTAAGGGCTAATACAACTAAGCTAAGGGGTGTCCCATGATGTTCATGTTTTGAAAAATTCAAATTGGATGATCCAATGGATTTTTTGGAGCTTTAGAAGAACTGTTCATCAATTCACCCCCACTTTTTTCCATTGTTTTTTCCTGTGAAAAATGATGTGAACTTGCATGAACTTGCTATTTGGGGATGTAAACAGATTGCTGAACAAAGCCACATCCAAATACCAAGCTAGACTTTTGCCATATTTTGGCAATGGAAATGCCCAATTCATCCCATTCATTACAACATCCTTCGGCCTGCCGTGTTTCCAAGTTCCAGGCTTGTTGTCGATGTTGCTGGTCCCCTCAAAGACCTGCACAACTGCCTGGCGCACTTGTAGATCTCCAGCTTGGTATGAGAAAAGTTTGAGGATGTCGGGTTTTACAGCAACCCGTCAACAAACATCTAAGACATCTAATCTCAAGGACGGTTTGATCAGTTTGATCGGTTTGATCATGTTTGATCTGTTTGCGTGCAACAGTGACAGATGACAGTAGGGAGAGTGCTGCAGAAAGGCAGAGAAGATTGGACGTTCAGGAATAGCTCATGTGAATTGTTGTAACATTCGTTTAACTGTATCTCATTGTGGGTTTAACTTGGTGTAAGCAACCAGGAATTTAAGTGAACATTGGCATATATGTGGTTTCTAATGACGTTTGTGGCCATGTGTGGACCCCACATCCCAAGGCCTTCTTCTTGTTCACCTCCAAAATCTGTCCCTGACGGACAGTGCCATCCTTGACTTCCAAATGTTCCCACCAAATCTGAGCCAGGGAAGTCGTAAGCAGGGAACATATTACCGTAATTAATCAACTAATGTATTATATCATTATACATACATATCATGTCATTGTATTGTATAATTGTATAATGTATCAACTGTGAATTGTCAGATTATATATGATTATATATACATATACCGGATGCTAAACTTAGTCATCAAAATACATTCAAATACATCTAAATACCAAATCGCTTTAATTTGATTTTGTTTGAGAACATCCACAGACCTCCCAGCTCAAGACCAGAGGCGGAGAGGTTCACGTTCACGATCTCACCTGACAATTTCCCACTGCAACTGGGCCTTTCGGTGGCGTCTACCGTCGCGTCGCGTCTAAGGCCCTTGCCGTAGGTGGGAAATTTCACATTCTCCATGATCACCAAAGGTCCCTGCGGCCAAATTCCAAAAAACCGCCCTTCCAACAGCTGATCATCCACAACTGTTGGAAGTCGTTATACGCAACACCCAAAAGTAATATCCCCACATATATCCATAATATCAGCGTGCTGCTTGTACCCCCATGAATATCCCCATGAAAATCCTATCCGAAAACATCTTGAAACTAGAAGTCAGCTCCCATTCCAGGCCCCCCTTGTCTCCCAGGACTGCCCCCTTGTCTCCCAGGACTGCCTCTACACCAGTGATGGTGCGGTAGTCAATACGAGGGTAGACCTCTTTCCGGACCCCACCAGTGCGTTTGGTACCATGGGGGATCCCTAGCTCGGAGGTTAATAAAATCCCCATGACTGAGCAATGATATCCCCATACTGTTGATGAAAACCCAAAAACAAACGATAACAACAAACATCCACCAGGGTTGTTGATTCACTGCTCCATTCTTTGCGTAGCATGGCAAAATAGTCTTCGCCTTATAATCGCGGCTCGCCGCCGCGGCATTGACGGCAGCAGCAGACCTTGGAATGAGCCAGAGTCTGGTATTGGAAGATTTCATGGTAACATCATCAAGCAAAATGGATGGAATATCCGAATTTGAAAAATTGGGGATACATGAAGGAATAAACTGGGAAACCACATCTACAAATGGAGATATCATAGGGACCTTGGGGATATTTCATACTTATTTCATGGGATACAATAAGCTGTTTTAGATGAATCAGATGAATTATGGCTGTTACAAACCAAGTCATGTTTTCTTGGACTTGCCAAGCCGGGCTGCCCGTGGAACTACCGTACAACTTTCGCTGTGTTTTTGGGTGGTGACTTGACCGTATTATGGGGAATTCATTCGATCGGCGGGAAATACAATTACAATACCCATAGGATCCATGTATGCTATATATGGTAACATTTACCTTCAATATACCCCCAATGTTAGCATATATACCATACATGGATCCTATGGGATATATTACAATCACAGTAATTCCCTAAAAGATAGTAAAGTGACGTAATTATCAGTATTTTACTAGGTTTTTACTTGTCTATCCTGGGAATGTATAACTGGGAATATGATCTTCAAAACTGGTGCTTAAAACACCCAAACCACGGGATATTGCTGATAGATGATGGTTGGACAACAAATAGTGTGGCAAACCCAATTGAGCAGTTGCCATAGACCTCTGAGTGGATTTCTTAACGCACCTCACCTCGAATATGGTGAATGTGAATTAAAATGAATAATTTTCGGGTGGTTTAATAATAGTGGTTCAACAGTTAAATATAGTTAAATAAAGAAATCACGGAACATGTTTATCCTAACTGTAACTGTAACTGACATCTATATATATATATATCATATTATGAGAGAAAAAAATGAATAAAATATAGTAAAATAATGTAAACTATAGTAAAACGTTATTCTATCCAGGTGAAATGAAAATCTGGCCTTTTTCCATCTTTTTCCCCAACGCGCTTAAGCGACACCTCATCGATTCAGATCTTCTCGCAGCATCTACTGGATTTCGGTCTTCGACATCCGCTGCTTCTGACCAGAGCCTACTGCCTACAGGGCCTACTGCGACAAGCAGAAACCGTCACTGTCCTGTGCTGGCAATTTGCATCGAGTCATCCAGGAAAAAGAACACTGATTCTAAAATTTCTAAATGATTTCCATGCAGTTCAATTATGATAATCCCCAAAAGGGCAGGTTAATAACCTACATTGGATAGGGGTATAGTATGGTCGGTGTAGTATGATAAAGTTTGAACATTGCTCACCTGTCGAATGGTCTTAAGGTGGCAAACCGCCAGATCCAGACTACTGCACAGGAAAGCCGTCATACTGATGGGCTTGGTCGGTGCAACATCCACTGCATGATTCCAATTTTGAAAATCCCATTCCTAGCAACAATGCGCAGCCATGTGCCAGACTGGTAATCATTGCTGAGGTAATTGCATAGTAGATCAGTGCTGATGCATTCAGCAACAGAAGAGCGATTTCGAAGGCCTTATTGTGGGGTGAAACGGCTGCCTGCAACTGGCATCTGGACTTCTGGATATACCAACCCACGACTGCACACCAAACTATGGACACGCCAGAACAGCCAAGGAATAAGCACAGCACCACTTGGTAGATCATCACGGCAATGAGGGAAATGCATGGCTTCATGGCATTTTGGTTAGCAATATTCAGCCACCAAGCACTGAACGTCACATCCAAGACCAGGAGGGCGTAGTTGATGGCAACGTCCAGCCCGGATCCTCCATACGTCAGGATGCACTCAATTTTTGCCAAAAGATTGCCAGATCCGCATTCGTCCATGTTTGGCTTCAGGTTTGGTGATGGAAAGACTGAATTTTTCATGATCTGTGATGATCTGTGTTTGTGTTCATGATGCCACTTTATGTGTTCCTAGCCAGAAGAGAAGCAGTACTTGTGGGACTTGGCAATGTTGATGATTATGATGATTGTGTACGTGCACACAATTTTCCTGCCAAACAGCAACAGGACCAACAGCGATCTGGAGCCTATGGTCGACGGAAACAAGATGGAGCAATGCATTGTATCTGTATGTATCTGTGACTGTGGCTCTCGATCTATCATGTGGGTCAAAATTCATCAACATTGGGTCTATGCTACAGATCGATCATGCAAAATTGATCAAAATTCATCAAAAATGGATCCAATTCATCAAACATGTCAATTGGATTCAGTTGGGTATTAACATGTATTAACTTATTCAAGCGCTACCTTAACATTGACACCTTCCTACCGGCGGTCCAAAGCGATCCCGGCGATCCCCAAAAAGTCCACTCAGGCGTGCACATTGCGGTGACCCAAAACGGCCGCCCAAAAATAGGATAAAAACCAATCAAAACCTGGAACTGCAACGAGCCAAAAAAAAGCGGTGATTTTCATGAGGTATGACAGGTATGACAGGTATGATACTCTGGGACGAAGAAAACCAGCCCCTATTGAAAACTGCGGAAAGGGGGTCTGAGTTGTCAATTAAGAGATTGTGAGTATTTGTGAGTCATGCATTGCGGCGGCAGAGAAAGGCTGAATTCAAGGCCGTGAGGTCAAGAGGTATTGCACCGGTCGTGCTAGGACAGACTTTGGCCATTGTTTGTGTCACTTTATATGTAATTAAAATATATTAAAATACTTCCATCTTTCAAACTGCGAAATCGATCCAAAATTGTCATGGAAAACCACGCCATGACAGGTATCTTTCAAAGTAGTCCCAAATGTGTTTATGTAATTACAAGTTATAGTTATAATCAAGTCATATACAAGTATGTCATATACAAGCATGTACAGAAAAAAAAACAGAGGCAAACAATGGTCTTGTGATTTTCGATTGCTCAACATTCAAATTCTGAGGAGGGTATGACTATCATGCGCCATCTACCTGTTCTTCGAAATGTCTCTCCCTGAGTAGAGCTAAAAATAGGAGCTGCAAACTTTTCCTTACCCTATAATAAACAAATATGGCTGCATCCATCAGAAATGTGGATGATTTATGATGATTTACCTTGATCTATGATGATTTATGATGAATTATGGCATTTTCCAGCGCACCGCATGCCTTTTTTCTGCTGATTTGCTCCCAGCCGGACTGCAGACAGCACCGCAGTCACGCGTGTCGGACGCGTCGTCGACGCGTAAGGCGCGGGCGGGGGCTCCAAATCTGTAGACCCATGGCGTAAGTTGTTGGGTAAGTATTGGATGGTAAACAGAACCTGGTGGTTCAATGTGTATGGGTGTGTCTGAAAATAGTGTACCCCTAAACCCAATGGTTTTGCTGATCATTATCCCTATTAAATGGCTATAATTGGGAATATACCCTATTTTCAGACAAACTCGTATAGATGTGTATAGTGTACAATCCCCTTCCCGTAATCTGATAAACACCCTCTGCATGGTCTCAAATATGTGTTGATTCCTTGATAAACCATGGTTTTTGGGAGGTGTTTAATAGTAGGGGGAAGGGATTACTGTATTATATATGTACATAATTAATTATATGGTATATCATATGCTATGGTACATTATATACAACATAAACAAGATCTACATAATCCATTATTATCCGGTTGGTGGTTTCAACCCCTCTGAAAAATGTTAGTTATTAGTCAATTGGGATGATTATCCCATGCATGAAATGGAAAATAAAAGCCATGTTCCAAACCACCAACCAGATTATACTATATATATATATGTATATGCCCTATTTTAAAAAAATGTGATTTCTAGTGGATTTATCCATTAAAAATGGTGATTTTCCATAGAATTTGGCCAATTTCAGCATAGCCCAGGTGCGAGTTGTTCTGGTCCAACATTGGTCCCAGGTGTTTTGGTGCCGCGGTCACCTACTTCAGCGACTGCACTGCTTTCTGGATCTCCTTCTCTCGGTCATAGTACTTGTCCTGGCTACCAATGTGGCCATGGCAATACCATGTCACAGCCATGAACAGTAACCCCAACCATTCAGAGGATCTCAACTCAGAATTTTCATCTTTGGATCATGAGAACTGTTACAACTGCAAATCTAGACAAAGTCCTAAGATGTCTCAACATGTCTCAACATTTTTCAACTCATTTGCTGCAAGTTTTATCCTTCCAATCCTTCAGAACCTTCGGTTTTGTGTTTATCTTGGAAGCACAGGGAGACTCTCCCAGTTGGTTTCTCTCTAGTTCTGACGATTGATTTCCCATGTCATGTTGGTTATAAAACCTTCATGTTCGATGATTAATATGGGTACATATATATATATGTACACATGCTATATTTCCAATATATTTCCCATGTTTGGATATGTTTTGTTGCCTAAATCCACCAGTTTTTCTCGAAATGAACCATCCATCCAGGGGGCCTTCAGCTTCTGCGGGATCTTCTTCAGCAATTCCTGAGGGAAGATCCGCAGCAGCGTCCAGGCCTGTTTTGGGTCGAGCGAGTTGGATCCGGGCGGATCCGGGTCGGCCACAATTTGTGGCCACCTTCGGGGGATCTGAATATGGATCATTCAATGGATTGGTTTAAGGGAAAATCTACAGGAAACCATGGTTTTTTACCATCAAATATAGGGCTTTCCTGTAAATTTTCCCATAATCCAATTCTATGAATCATAGTTTCATGGAGAAAATGATGATAAACATCACTTAAACATCCCCTACTTGGGAGACATTGGAATGAATTTGGAATGAATTTGGGATAGATTGGAGAAAATGATAGAAAATGATGATCATCTCCCCTATATGGGATAAATATGGATAAATCATGATGAAGAACCTCTGGGATTTGGCCCAAATTTGGAGACATCCCCTTGCAGAAGATGGTGGGCTTCCGGACGATATCCAGCGATGCAAAGATGTCGCGGTTTTCGTAGGCTCCCTGGGTCCTGGGGCCCGGCAGTATCGGTGGCAAAACATCTCAGCGGGCGATGCTTGAGCTTCTGGCAAAAACTTGAGCTCAAACTTGTCAGTGAACTCCAAGTACTTGTGCCTACGCAATGCACCAAACCGGGCGCAGGGCTTCAAGGTACGCGATGCTTTTTCCGGCTTCGAGTCGTTCACTGAAGTCACTGTTTCACAAACAGGCAGGCAGCACTCGTCTTCATTCAATGCCTGGCATGGCCATATTTGCTGCTCACCAAAGTGGGGGCAGGTTTCAAAACATCAGGCGGTAGGAGGACGAAGCGGTGATTTGCTGTGAATGGAATGATTTGGTTCAACGGTGGTACCAGTATGGTTAAGAAATGTTCACATTTATATAATGCTCAATATTTTAATATATTCTTTATATTTACCAAAATCCAGGACAGCCATTTTTTTGGCCAAAAAACATGTATTTTAAACCAGACCCATCCCAATTCTTTCACCCTTTTTTGGCCTCCTCTCCGACCACTGCTTTCATGGCACGGGTGTCCTGTGTGGATCATTTCGCTAGGGGATCTCCAGGGGTTTTCCTCATCGGCAGGTGCTGTTGACCCTAAATCCAACAGGTCTGAAGCTACTGAAGCAGCACCGCCGGGAACGCCATACACCAACTATTTTTATATATTTTTATCAACTATAAAATTCTATAAATCCAACCCTCTGACTATTTCCTGGCCCAATCGAACCATCATTCGGCTGGTTTGCTCGTGGCAAGTGATAGTTTAACCCATCTACCGAAATGGAAATCAGCTGCCATGGCTGGCAAATCCCCCCAACTATACTTCGATGATTTTCCCAGCTACACAATATAATATATATTTATATATTTATATATATATAGGTACTATCTATTGAATAATATATATTATATATATATCATATATAGTTCAGGGATGTTCAGGGATTTTCCATCAAATTCCATATATAAACCCAGCATGTTCAAAAATGATTTTCCCCATGAGTTTCCACCGGCTGCGAGCCCACGCCTGGCCAATGGCGTAGTTGGCGTATAGCTGGTCCGAGACGTTGGGGTGATCGTCACGGGTCATGCCTGAGGATGTCAGAAAACGAACTGGGGAACTGACCTGGGGGTGGATTTGGATGGGGAACAAGATGGTTTTATTATTTTTATCATGTGTTAATTAGCTGGAAAGTATTCAAAAGATTAGAATACCATCTGGTTATTTAACATATATCATAGAAAATCCACCATTTTTAATAGGTAAACCATCTATAAATGGGCCATTTTCCATGGCTATGTTAAATAACCAGAGGGTAGTTTTTTTTTGAATAAACATGGATTTCTGAAAGTTAACTCGACTTGAAATGACAAAAAAGTCGATGGATCACCCAATGTCAGCAGGCCTTTGACTACAAGACCATGTCCAAAATCGTTTTTCAGAAGGAATTAAGACATGTTTTGAACAATCTGGGTTTGTCCGAAAATGGGGTACACCTGGGTATACCACAAAGTTTCATGACTAATCATGTTTTTCCGTTGTACTTGGCTATTTGGCGCTTCCCATTTTCAGGCCCATATCTCCCTTCCAATTCCATCCCAATACCCTTCAGAAAGGCTCATCCAAAAAGTCCTATAGGATGCTTCTGGGTAGATCCGCTAGGATGTAAAAACACAAAGACACCCCCCGGGTTTTTTCGCTGCTTGATTATAAACCCAATCAACTACAAACCATAGTTAAGCTACTTATGAACCAACTTTGCCACAGAAACCACGCCGTTCTTCAACCACGTTGCCCTTGCCGATGCCAGACTTCATCAATCGGCTGAGGGACGGCAACACCTGCGCATCAATTGATGAAGCTCAGCAACCGTGGCCGGCCCGAGCCAAAGACAGAACGACAAAAAAAACAGCCGTTGAATTGGGAGAGAAATAGCCTCTGAGAATTTGACATAAGTATTGAACAATTGAACATCACCAATTATATCCAATTATTATGATAGGTAAATCATCTACACATGGGTGACTTTCCACAGCTATGTCAAATGAATGTCAAATGACTGGAGGGTACCTTTCGTCGTTTTGGGGACACTGAAAAAAAGTTGCAGAATCTGGTAGACAGGTATGATATGGTATGATCGTGGCAAAGGCTATGGGACTGGTATGGATGATATGATGATATGATATGGTATGGCATTGTAATGTCATGTCAGTACCCTCCAGTAAACTAACTAAGTGGAAATCCAGGGGGTTCCCTGAGACAATCCTGGAAATGATCTACATGGATTTTCCAGTAGTTGGCTGGAGGATAATGCCTTTGTGAACCAAACTCAAAATGGTAACCATGTTGAGCCATTGACAAACTGCGAACTCCATCTCAACTCCACAACTCAGAGAGAAACTATGTTCAGAAAATCATAAGATACGAGTACCAAGCTAGACAGTTGACAAGGGGACCCTGAAAATAAAGATGAAACAGTAACAGGGTACCCCAAAAACTACTGGTTGATCATGTTCCTATCAAAATTGTCATAGTGTGCGTTTATTCCATGTGTGGACACGCCCAAATATCATGAAAGTTGGTTATAATATCCCATTCATATCCCCATTGAATCCTCATAAATAACCATTTTCCCTATGATATCCCATATCATATTGCTTATAATTTATAATATCCCCATTATATTATCTTATCTGATTAATGTCTCAATAAGATATTCCCAGATTATATCACATTATCATATGGATCATCAATGATCATCATATGAAAACTCATGAAATATCATATTATCCCATTATACTGGGGATATTCATATCATATATTATCCCCATCATATCTCCATGATTAAGAATCATCCCCTCGCCGTCTTCCAGGCTTTGTGCCCCGCGCGTTGATTGGAGGATAGATCTGTCTGTTGTGCAGCGCACGATCGACAAAGACCTGCCGTGCTACGTGGATCTATGTCGTGAGTTTGTTTTTCGAAAGGAAAAAAGTGAGGCACTATACAGACTGATGATGCTCTTGTTCTGTGTTGGGAGCAAATTGAATTGAAAAAATAAGCATCTTTGGGTCTTGTCCAGCTAAAGGTTTCAGAAGGGGTCTGCTTTTCGAATCAGGAGTCTTCAATCCACCACGCCTGTCCCTCGGTGATGTAACCCGTCAAATCTGGAATTGGATGTGTAATGTCCTTGGCTACTGGACTTTGAAAGCATGGCAAAGAAACGAAGACAACTTATTTCTTTTTAAAAAAACTGAATGCGAGCTGGTTGGCGGTTTCACCTCATCCCAAAATCTCAACCAACTGGATGTTTCCATAAGCTTCGCGCATCGTTGGGCATGGTGAGGATGGGAAACTGGGTGATGGATCCATTGCCTGGGGATCAGCTGTCCAACATGATGGATATGGGATACTCATGGATACCCCTTACCATGGGAAAGTCATGGGAAAGTCATGGGGAAGTCATGGGAAACCATGGATGTTTCTTATGGTTTTTCATCATGTTTGATCATGTTTGATCTATTAATCCTTCTTGGAATTAGAGGGCTACCCTCTGGTAAACTGTCCCATAACTATGGAAAATCACCATTTTTCATGGGAAAATCCACTATTTCTATGGCCATTTTCAATAGCAAACTGTTGACATAACCAGAGGGTACCTTTCAACCAACGCCTGATTGATGCGTCTGAGGTCGAGACGGCCCTCCACTCGGCCAGCGCGCTCGTAAATGGTGGACAAATCCTCAGTGCGAAGAAAATGGCCATGAGTCCTATGGGATCCTATGGGTGTGTCTGAAAATGTGGGCATATAACAAAAATATCCAAAAATATCCAAAAATATCCAAACTTCGATTTGAAGTCGGGAACATGATGATTCAATTGAGGAACCAGCAAATTTGATCCATTTTTTGGGGGTACCCGATGTGCAAACAAAGCCATATCCTGTGGATCTCTTGTGGGGTTAAACACCGGGGTGGCTGGTTAGCTTAAGATCCTCTCACGCAGGGAAAGAAATCTAGCCTGGCAATGGAAAAATCTAACCTCTGGTAATCAAACATGGCAATGGAATAAACACTATAAATATGGAGGTTTTAATGGGAAACATCATCTATAAATGGTGGATTTTCCTATGTCATGTTTGATTACCAAAGGGTAATTTCCGTAGGAAACTATACTGTCTAAGAATGGCATATGTCACACATTAGGCCGGTCAGCGTGATCGCGTTCTAGACTGGGGCCTGGACCGTGTACCTGGGAAAGTTTGCGCCGGCAAAAGCCCGTTGTGATTATCCCAAACAAGTAAAGAAAAATTGGAGTGATTATCCAAAAAAAGTAAAGATGATCCACAGATTATCCACAAATTTCAGTATCCCAAAATTCATCAAAATTCACCCCAAATCTGTCGCTGGTTGGTTCAAATGGTGCCAGGTTCAGCAGGTCCATCTCAGTCCATCTCCCACAGGGCGCACATGTAACCTGGATAACCTCTTCGTCCTGGCACCTCCTCTCGTGCTGCAGACACCTGCCCGGAACTGTTCACAAGCTTTGGGGATGCTAAGCCAATCATAAGGAAAATTATGTTTTACAGAATTCTCAGACATGGATAACCATGGACTATCTTGTTTCTTTCAGTTTCAGTAGTCTTCATGTTTCTTCAGTTCTTCCATGTAACATCACCAGTTGTGAGGGGTATAACTGATAACTGTATAACTGTACAAAGAATTGGGGGTCTATCAACACTGGAGAATCACGGCACGTCCCAGAAATCGCAGGATGTAATTGCCAAATGGCATGCCACAATATCAACGCATGTACCAATATTTGCCCTCAAAACAGGATTGTCTGAAAATTGGCTACCCATGGCTACCCCAAAGTCATATGGCTTATGACATCTTATGACCATTTGCCTCAATTTACTAGCCATGAATTGGGTGTGTTTCCGCATTCTTTCGGACAATGCCCTGGAACCACGTATGTTTCATGCTTCGATATCGATATCCCATGCCATCATCTTGTTTGGTTCATAGTCCTGTTACAGTCTTGCCCCCATGCCCCCATTATGGTTCTGCCCGAAAATACAGAATTGACTGATCTGAAATGTTAGGCCGTTCAAGGATGATTCCCGGAATCGCAACCAGCATGAACACACTCGCGTCCCGGATTGTGCTGTTGTTGTCATGAAAACCCAGATTGATACCCCGTAAAACTCCATCAAAATCCAATGAGATCCCATTACACCCCGCTAAACCCTGTTAAACCCTATTCAACCCTACTAAACCCCATCAAATCCCATTAACCGGTCAGTTGGTCGGTAAAACATGGTAAAACAACCTGGACGTTTTTTTCTGGTGAATCTCCGGGTGCACCTCTCGCAGAGCATCCGCATAGGAGCTCATGTCTGTGAGGATGACAAAGACCTACCGATGACTCTGACATCACTGAATCATCACTGAATCATTGGCATTCTCATCATTCTGAATGGATTGTTTTAGGATGTTTTAGTTAGGAAATTTTGAATTATCCGATCTCATCAAAAAAATGGGGTCAACCGTTCAGCCGGGAAAAGAATAAAAGGTGTTTGAACTTATACTTTTTCACCCCAGGAGAAAACGGGTGTTCCTGCAGCTTTTCCTTCAACCAATTCTCAGTGCGTTTAGTGATTAGTTAAATCCCAATGGAGTATGGCGATGACGGGACAAAAATGGACAAAACTCTGGTACTGGTACCTGGTGAACTTATCAAAAAATGAACAGAATTGTCTACAGGTTGGGATGTGAACAACAAGCCAACAAGCCAACGCTGGGGGTAGTTGGTATTGACCCATACCACCACAAGGGTCTAACACAACGTAGCCATAAATCGGACAACACGTCACACGAAAACCTGTCTGAAGAATGGTATAGCGAAAAGATCCGCAAAAAGAATCTGTTTCTTTCTGAGAATGTGATACTATGGATAGATACCTATCCAAGGCATGGTTCAAAGGAAAATCTACAGGTTACCCTTAAAAGACCATGGGTTTTACCTCAAATCATAGTTTTTTAATCTCCCATCCAGCTGTGGCAATCTCGGCTTGAGGCCACGACGTGCTGCTCGCGCGTGTACCTGCGCCCATCTTGACAGGGCTCAAACTTTCTGATTAAAGCCTAAATAGATCCTAAATGGATCATATTGGATTTATATGATATATACATATAATTATATATATATTATGTATAGAAATAACTTATCAAATCCTAAATATAACTCATGTAACCCAGGTTTCATATTGTCTGATATTGGATCTATCCATTTTGAAGGCCCGTATGATATGCACAAAATCAATGATATCACAAGTGCCGGACTTGTCAGACCAAGACCATTCATGACCATCGTCCGACCAACGCGCACGCGAAGTATTCTGCTGTGGTCAACGCCAAACGCGGCGTGACAATACGCTCAATGGTCGGGTCCTCAGCGTGCAGCGAGCTAACGACTTAATTTGTGTGTCCGAACTTGGCAGGTGATGATCTAAATGTCTTCAACATTTCAACATATGATCAGGGTATGGCATGCATATCATATCATATGTATATACATCTAATAAAAACATGTGTATATATAATTGCTTCTGATCGTCTGCGCTAGTTCACATTTGAACCTTCCTCCAAGGAATCCTCAGAGTCTTTGCCAAAATTTTCGAACTGAGGCCCAGGCATTGGCCAAATTCATGAAGAGTACCACATTCTCCATGGAACCGTTCCTCAGATCCAAGAAACCCTGAACCTGATTCTCCAGAAGTCTTGGAACATGTAGGATCATGTCGCTAAGTTCCAACATCTTCCAATCAATCAAAAAAAACCATCAATTCCATTCAATTCCCATCAATTGCTGCAAGTCCAGGAGTCCTTATTTTTGCCCAATTTCAACCAGGGGGAATGGATTCCTCTTGGATGGCCATGTTTTCAGTGCCGCGTTGCTCTTCGAAGTCGTTTCGGAAGAAGCGCGCCGTCTCCATGTTGACACCTCGCTGGGACAACTCATCCAAGTGGAGGGATGGAATAACCTGGGAGAAATGACGGAAAAACCATAAAAAATGATGGAAACAACTAAACAACCCTGGAAAATGATGGGAAAAACCCTGGAAAATGATGGAAAAAAAGCTGGAACATGATGGAAACAAGCTGGAAAATGATGGAGAACACATGGAAAAAATCTGGAAAATCATGGAACATGAATTCGAATGAAACATCTTCGAAAATACATGAAGATACCCCAATAAAACGACTGCACTTGCTGTGCTGCGGAGTCTTTTTTGAGACCATCTGCGGAGCAAATGCTCATCCAATTTCATCATCCTGCAACCTTTACGAGAAGAAACAGTGCTGCGGAGTCATACAAGTTCTCAACGTGGAGTCATACAGTGATCCTTTATGATCCTTTTACCATCTTTTACCTATCATTACCCACTCCAGTATAATACTGTCTCAACCCCGACAGAAACCATGGCTGACTTGGTTGAATTTTTGGCGAACGTGGTTGAACCACAGAAACGTTTTGACTGACAGTCTTTCATATCATCTACTCAAAGAATCATAGAAGATGGACCCTCAAAAACCCAGCAATCCTGGTAGTTTCAATCCCCTGAAGATGAAATATTCGAATATCGGGACCATCATCTCACTTAATTTTTATGGAAGATAATCATTATCCAAATATTTCGTAACATGTTCAAACCATGAGCCAGATCAAATACGGATTAAAACAACAGGAATGTGACATATGTGGATTTGAGATGATTTGATGAAGATAGGGATTTTAAATGATTTTAATGGATTCATTTTCAGAAAAGCTTGGTTTTCACCATCTGAAACTCACCTGCCGAAACGAAGTTTCTGCCGATCCCAAGACAGGGTCCCGGGGTCCCGACCCATGGCTCCAAAGACGATGCTGAAGTTCTCCTGTGAGTGATCCGTCACCTGGGAATCGATTCGGTCTTTCTCCATGGTTTCTGAGGGAATATGATGATTATTGATGATCAGAGATCTTCAATATGCACATACATTGATGATCATCTCCTTAAAAAAAAACATGACTTTCGAATACTTTCGATTTAACTGCAATCCTCACAGTGTTTGAATGTGTTTGACTTTGACTTCAACATTCCCTGAATCTACTCGAAACCAGCATGCCATGTTCCATCTGCCAATCATTCATGAAAGACACTGCTCCACCTGCCATGCCGTTCCGTTCTTTACACGGCGCCCCTTGGCTTCTCACATCCTTGCCCTGCACCAGGGATGCTTGTCGACACACCTGGCAATGTTCCCATCATGGACGGGATGATCCGGTTGCATCAAAAATATAAGCTAGATATCCTATATGGTAATTCACTATAAAAAAATAGTCCTTATGTATGTTTAGTATGTTTAGAATATCTATATATTTCTAAATGTATAGGATATATTACGAAACATGCTACATTCGAATAGTATTGAGGCTCCACACTCCAAGGGCTCCAAGCGCACCTGCGCAGCAATCTCGTTGTGCGGAAGACCTGCGGCCTGCTCTGGCGAAAGTCTCTGGGGATGAAGGATAACTGGTGGTTTCAAACATCTTGAAGGATATATTATATATACTGTAATACCATTGATTACTGGTATATCACAATTATTGTATCCTAAAACCATTGATATCATTGATTAAATAAATAGCCAATTATAGTACCATTGATGCCATTGATTATTAAAATATGAAAGTCAATGGGAAGGATGACATCCCATATATGAAATGGAACATAAAATTCATGTTTGAAACCACAAACCAGATAAACGCATCAAGTAGGAAGTGAAACAGGCTTCAGTGAATGATCTCCATCCATTCAGATAGATATGCAGGAAAACCATGGAAAACCGGTGTCCTTTCCCTGCATCAGCAGCCATCAAGTTTTTTGTTAATGGTATTTTGAATTCGTCATTTTCTTGGCAACCTAAACTCCCGGATGTGCGAATGACTTTTTCAAAGTTCTCATGTTCCACTGCCAGAGAAAATTCCAGTTTTCAGTGCATTGTTCAAAACAATTCCTCAAAACGATCCCAACGGGTTGTCATGATATGGCAATTCTCCCCTTTCTTAATCTCGCAGAAATCCTGAACCATAGTGAAACCATCGATTTTTAGCTGGTAAATGCTGGTAAAGTATCGAAGAAATCCATTAAAATCCCAGATTTATCATCGATTTTTAGCTGGCAAGTATCTGAAATCCCATATAAATCCCAGATTTATGGCAAGAAATAACAACGCAAAAAAACTCAGAGGCTCCCAACGGAGAAGAGCGGCAACTTCTGGCCACGCACCACCGAGTTCATGGTGTCAATGGCACTGATGCCCGTCCTCAGCCGGAGTGGGAAACTTGTCATCCAAATCTGTATGGATGGATGGATGGATGGATGGATGGATGTACGTACATGTATATGTGCAATGATGTGTATAGATATATACATATATACTGCATATATATAATGTATTATAATGTCTGTTGGTACATAAAAGCTTATTTTTGGGGTACTAACTGGGGTACTAGTAGATTCGAACCAGCCCAATCTAGTTACTTAACTGATTCCAATCCGTTCCCTTCGGTAATCCAACCTGGCAAAAATCAGGATTTCTCCATGGATTTTCTGACCAAACATTGCACAATGTCCATCTTTGTAGGAGAGGGTATGTCTGAAATGCTAGAAATTGGTTTTCTATTGGTTTTTCCATGGTTTTTCCATGGTTTCATTGGTTTTTCCATCTTTTCTATTGGTTTTCCCATGGTTTCTCCATGGTTTTCGAGTTTTCTATGGGTTTTCCCATGGTTTCTCCATGGCAATCCCATGGCTTTTCGGACATCGCAAAAAATCATTCCCCAAGGCTCGCGCTGAATCATCTCCTTTGGATATACCCGAGACCTTGGAGGCATCTGCCAAAAACACGATGGAAAGATCCACCATTTTCAATGGGTAAATCCACTATTTTGACTGGGTCATCTTCAATAGCCAACTGTTAACATAACTATGGAAAATCACCATGTTTAATGGGAAAACTCACTATAAATGGTCATCTTCAATAGCTAACTGTTGACATAACCAGAGGGTATCCCGATTCCTAGTGCTAATAACTGCTCATATTAGTGCAATATCATTAGTCATATATCCAATATGTTTGCTACATTTTCCCTACCAGTGGTCTTTTTATTTGAAAAGACATGGACATACCCTCTGGTTATGACTAACATAGCCATGGAAAATCCCGAAAATATTTCTGGAGGTTTCGTTCGCTGGGAAAATCATCTATTTAACTATGGGCCATGGCTCTACCATGGCGAACTGTTAGTCATAACCAGAGGGTACATATTCTGAAAAGATCCCATGAGCTAATCCCATGCGTGGGATGATTCTATAACCTGCTTAGATCGGTTGGATCAAAAAGGGGTCCCAGATCTGGGTCCCAGATCTGCAGCCCTACCAATTTGTTGCCCCCCAATGATGTTTGGTTTATGAACCCCTATTCACCAGTTCAAAGTATACCCCTATTAGCTATCTAAGTTGTGGGAAATAGATGCAAATAGGCAGTGGTCAACACCTAGTTATGAACCAACTATGTTGTTATAAACCCCATTCACCAGTTCAATATCATTCAATATGTATCTAATTGCCGCAAAGTCTAGCGAACTATACGTTAACATGAAAAATTAGTCAAAAAAAACAACTTAGCTAACTCTAGGAGCACTGTTTCGTCTTGGATTTGCTTGAGATGCTCCAAACAAATCAAACATATTCCCATATTTTCCCTATAGATTCCCCGTTTTTGTGGATTTCCCATTCGGAAAATTTCCAAATCTCCTTTGGTGCAAACCCACGTTGTCCCACCAGTATGGTTTCCCTACTAAAACTCCATCACATCACCACAATTAAGACTCAAAAGCCATGGAAATCTCTCAAATCACCATGAAAAAAACCATGATCTCTCCATGAGATCTCCATTCAACCACCATGAAACCACCATTTCTGGCTGGTTTTCCCAGCGAAAAAAACCTGTCGTTTTCCCAGTGACTTGGGATTCAGTGGAGCTCCGCCGATGTCCAGGAACTCCTCCGCCAGGACGGCGGGCCTGGCGTCGAAAAACCGCGGACCAAATATAACTGAAGATATTAGGTGTAGATATATATACATATATATATATATATGATTATATATATATATTGTATATATATAATATATTGTTATTATAGACTATATATCATATATTTGTATATATGATATAATATGACATATTATATATAACATACCTATATTATATATATAAATACTGTACATATGTTTTAAGCAATAAAACGGTATAACCCATAGAATCCATTCGGATATAAACCCCTGTGGTCATTTCACATGGCCTCCATGGTGAAACTGGAGGATGAAAGATCCATCACGCGGTCCCACCAAGCGGGTCAAACAGAAACCATCACTGCAGCGAAATCAAGGGAAAACATGGGAAAACCATAGATACCCTCTGGTAATTTAACATAGCTATTGAAAATGGCCATTTATAGTGAATTTTCCCATCAAAAATGGTGATTTTCCATAGCTACGTTAAATTACCAGAGGGTATGTCGCATCTTTACAAATTGGGAACCCCCATGTCTTTTCCATGTCTTGTGCCCAGATGATTGGGGACTCATCAACCAAACACCACCAACATTCACACCATGATTTTGTTCGGAACGAAAACACAATATGTTTTTCACTCATCAACTACATCATACAAAATTGCCATTTAGTTTGATTATTTTCCCATTATTCCCCTGTTTTCAAACGACATACCCCCACCCTCCCATCCGCGCACCCCTTGTCAATGGGTTTGCCGGATCCATTGAAGGCTCGACCTGGCAACTTTCAAAGCTACGAAACTTCACAACATGTCAAAAAATCATTTGGAAAACCTCTAATCATTAATCTTTGGTGTATCAATATCATGAGTAACATTAAAAATGCATCATGTACATACATCAATAGATACACCATACTTAGTGATATATTAATCTATATTACATACATATATAATTATATAATCATATATAAATATACAGTATATATACATATATCACATTTATATACATACAAAAAACTATACTAAGCCCTATACAAACATCGCTGGGAATTTCTGAATCTTCATCCCCCTTCCGCCGCACCCATGAGGTCATCAGAGATGGGCATCTTCAAGGTGTCGCCAGTGAACTCGATGTGGCAATCCCTCAGGTCGCGGGCCAGGATGATCTGAAAAATGTGGGCCCATTTATTATATATATATATGAGCCCGGTCCCCGGACCCCCACACCCCCCCCCCCCCCCCCCCCCAATGGTATCCCCCCCCCCACTCCTAACCCCCCCCACCCCCCCAAAACCTAGTATTTGCATGTTATTTGCACATATACATACACATATACACATATATACTCCCCTTTCCACCCCTCCAACCTCGCATCTCTACGTTATTTGCAGCACTTGAGAGCCACGACCTCGTCAACGGACCTACCTGTATATTTCTATCATAACCTTTTTTTCGAACCGCCTATAGCGTGCCTCGCACATGGTTTACAACATATTTGCTACCTATGGATTACGCAAAGCTTACCTATGCAAACCTAGACATATGTACAGTAGAAAAACAATATATATATATGCACATTCTAGATACTACATATTGATATCTTGATCTTGTATTTATCACATATTTCGTTTACATTGTACATACTGTACACGTGTATATATATATGTACATATATATATATATGCATATATATATGCATATATATATACATATATATATATATACATAAACTCTAGATATACAGCGTCTATTGCTGTCGATATTCAATATACCACATATACTATGTAAAATTTATTCAACGAACATATTTACCTATATTGTATATATTACATCTACTGTGGATACAGTACATGTGGCATATACTATCTATATTCTATCAAAATCCACATATACGATATATATATATATATTATATTGCATGTATTCTATTTATATCTTACATATTATATATATGTTTATATATATATATACACCACACATACACTCTATATTACATATAGTATATCCATTCTAATTATCGATACATATGCACTATATGCACTATATGCACTATATGCACTATATGCACTATATGCACTACAATCGGCTTGGCTGCTGAGAAAACCCCCCCTCCCCTGCCACAGGGGGGGGTGAACCATCTGGCTGGGGGGAGGGGGGGGTGTGGGGGTCCCTGCTCATATATATATATATATTGATTTTATAGTTATTTATATATATATATATAATTACCAAAAAACAATTTGAACATAATTGAACATATTTAAACGATTTTAAACGTATTTCATTTGTTTGGTGATCGAACCAGGTGATGTACAATGTACAGTAGAAGAAAACAGTTTTGAAAGTCAATGAAACGATACGAACGAAGTGTAATTCTAATCTCTGTCGCACACGGGTCACTTAGTGAAATAAAGTGGCGCATTATATGCATGGATATTACGGGTCGAAAAGTGGTATCCAACCGGCACGAATAAAAGCAGGTATCAAACCATCTACAGTCTACACTATCCTGCGTCAACAATGTGTTTGACTTTCAACGGAAACAATGGAAAACAAAATATTCACATCATAATTAAGCGGGGCAACGGCGCAAGATACAGTTGGTTGTCTCCCAACATGTGAGCGGTGGCAAAAACTCCTATGTCATTCTCTTCTAATCCTACTTGTATTCCGCGTTTTCTTACTTTAAGGTTTTTGATGCTGCTCATGTGGGTTTGTCTCAAAACACCAAAACTCTGTGGCTGATGATGTTTAAGAAACAAGACTGAACCACCGTTTCTTTTAGTTGGGCACGACATAAGAATAAGATAACACATGCCAGCCACACAAAAGTCATACCAATACCTTTACCAAACACTGCCATGACTTTTGGAAGCAGCAGACAAAAGGAGCTGCAAACGAAGCGTTTGGAGCCAAGGCGGCAGGAATTACTCTGAAAACTCCGTTTTGCAGCCACTGTTCGGAGAAAGGAGGCTTTCCGCACTAGAGCGGATTTGTCAAACAAAAAAATTATCATGCCAAAACGCCGGGCAGCCACAACATTTCGAGATGTAGTGAGATTAGAATAAGCTATAGTTAATTGACATAAAACGTCGTAACACCACGAGGTCTTAGCAAAACCGTATGGTTAACTGGTTAACTATAATCTTCCAAGTTAAAATTGCCATGACTGGGGGGTATAACGGACACCATTTTTACAACATAGACCCATATCCCAACATATTTGGATTGTCCAACTCTGGGGGGTTGTCCTTTCCCCTTTTGAGAGCCATGCGGCGCATGCGAAGCCAAGTGACCTGTTGTCGATGTTGCTAGTACCCTCAAACACCTGCACAACTGCCTGCGGTTGCTCAAAGACAGAGATGCAATCACAGGTGGATGGCGGGGAACACCCCCAGAAAAAGGTGGGTAGGATTATTGTTGTTTGTTATAGTTATATGAGTTATATAATGCTATATTTTACATATTATATATTGTGATCATATTATAATCTTAGAAAAAAAACAAATCATCCATAATTAAATGACCCCAGAAATGATATCCCAACTATATCACCAATTTATATCCATTAGATTCCATGAAGAGCCCATCATATCTCCATGTCATGGCATGATCCCCGCAAAATCAGATAGTTATAATCCAAAACATCCTCCGTCAAATGATAATGGTTACGAAATCCATAAAATGGAGGTTTCCTAAAATGGAGGTACCCCCAAAACCCTATAGTTTCAATACTAACATGGTCTAATTTTGGATGATTTGGCGGCAACCCCATTGTAGGAAACCCCCAAATAGTTTTGTTCTTACATAATGGTTATGGAACATAATGTTTGATAATGGTTTTCTAAATCAAATTATCCATCAGATAATGTAAATGATAATAGTTTTGTTCTTACATTTGATTACAAATTGTTTGATTATATTGAAGGTATTTATATAATGAAGGTAACCAAATTGAATCAAATAATTATCCATCATATCATGCTTCGCAGCCTGGCCTTCTTTTTGTTCACCTCCAAAATCTGTCCTTGTCGAACGGTCCCATCCTGAGATGGATGGGCAGCTGGCAAATTTCATCCTTTGAATTGAGGGGGACAAAGCCCAAATAAAAGGAAAACCATCTACAAATGGGATATAATGGGGATACGCTGGATTATAATGGATGCTAATTAATATATATACACATTGAATGGCAATGAAATTTGCACGACACCAATCAGAATTACACAGCCCAGGGGGCCAAAGTCAGATTGGATTGTCTTGATCTCAACACTGATGGCAAGGTAGGGCAAGATCACACGTGTTTGCTGTTTCTGGGAAGTTCCGGCAGAGAGGTTCACGTTCACAATCTCACCTCAACAAGGGACATCTGGTTGCAGCACTTCACAATTTGTGCCTTTGGTCAGGTTAAACTGAATTTGGAAGTGAAAAAATGGTCTTGTGTTACTGCTGTTATGAACGATTCGTCAACGTCCATAGAAATTCATAGAAACATGATCATATGATTAAAATTTAAACATGAGTATATTAACTTGTATTACATTACAGTAGAGTACAGTACAATATATTACAATAAAGTGCGGCACAGTACATCAATATTACATTACATGTTATATTTTTTACGACATCGCCTACAGTACAGTCCATTCATTTAATTTCCGTTTGTAATATACACACATAACACACGTTACGTACATGACATACATTAATTACATACCATACCATACCGTACCGTAATGTACTATAACGTACAATACCATACCATACCACACCATTTCATTTCATACCATGTGATTTCATTTTATTATATACATCTTCTTACATTGCATTCCGTGCCACTACAATACATTTCTCCAGTACGTTGCATATCCAAATAAGATCATCATATCAAACAACACATGAACCATGTTCTCAATGTCTGAAACCCCGGGACCAAAAAAAGGCCCCAGAAAGAAGGGGCTCACAATGTGGCTCACATACAAAATACATGGATTACCAAATATACGTTTTTCCACCGAATGATTCGACCCTCCCCTTGGGAGCAAACCATAAGTTGGAAACTTCACATTTTCCATGATCACTAGAGGTCCCTGAGGCGGGCGGTCAGGCCGTGGCAGGCGATAAATTGTTGGAAGGACATTGGATTTCATGGCATGAAGGATGCACATTTAAAGGGAAAAAAACGTTTGAATCGCAAATTGGCCTCATTAAACTCCCAGGTTAAATCTGTGAATTTCATTTCCCTACCTGCCAGGCGAGGGCCTCCAGATTTTAACCAAAGTGCAATTCACTCCCTCATTCCTTTCCTTCATTCCTTCACTGCCTGCGTCCTGCTCCATCCTTCTTCTTGCGCTATCCTCATTTTCTGCCAGCTTGTCGTTTCCTGTGAGCACCAACGGACCTGGATGTCACAGCAACAGCCATTTCAAGTGTAGCACTTTTTGCCTCAGGTGAATTTCTTTGATGCACATTGCCCACTTGCCGCTTACCACAGCTTCAACCGCGCTTCGTTGAGCTGGTTCCTTGCTAAAAATCGGTTCGCTCTAGCGGACAAATCTTATCCCCCAGCTCACGCCTCTTGCAAGACATCCCGCGATCGGTGTTTCTTTGGGCAGCCATACGCGCAATGCGTAAGAACGCCCATTTGTAGAAGCTCCAGCCACCCCTCGGCGCCGCCGCTCGGCAAGATGTTCTCTTGTGAGAGCGGTTGCGCGCAATACATTCGGAGGACACACTCGTTGCATGTGCTTCAGATGCACAGCCTGTGCCTCAAATAGTTACAAGACTAGCAATCCCGAGAAGGTGGCCCCGGACCTTGTGCGCGGGCACTTCACGCAGGTTTTGCCAAATCCCTGGCACGGAGTGCGTATTGTAAATGCTCAAAATATTTTGCCCATGCCCCCGGCTATGCCGGGAATATGTTTTGAATGTAGCTTGCTATTTTGCTGGAATATTATATTTTTCTTTGTTTGCCATGTAGGTATGCTTGGGTGAGTTTTGCGATTCCTTCAAGGGTGGTCGTGGCTTTTGGCGCGCTTCTCAACCAATTGTGAACAACACGGGCCTACGAAGAAATTGATATTGGCTCGCATTCTGCCAAAACAACCTAATGCCCAGATTGAATCGCGGGACAAGGGGACAGAAGACGTTTCTCATACCTTTTCTCCTCTCTCCTACCAGCCAACATCTCGGAAATGGAAGCCCAAAAAAAGCGGCAAACACCCCTCTTTGCGCATCCCCCAAAAATGTGAGTTTGAATTTCACCGTTGGCATCGCGCAGACTGCGGCAATAAAACATGCGGTTAAAGATGATCACTTGATTTTCCTGGCTCAGAAACCGTCAGCGCAAACTTAGAATATCTTTTGGCATGCACTCTCATTCTATTGGAGTACGTTGAGGGACAAAAATGTTTTCACCAATCCCATGCATGTGCAACCTGGCTGAAAGGACGGTAAGAACAGATTCCACTTCTACCGCGTGCAATAATGTACTTTATAGAGAGAGAGAGAGATTTTTATTACATCTACCAGGTCAAGACACCCCGCCTTTACCTCGTGGCGACAGCCCTCATCGCTAAATGGCTCTTGTCCTGGTCGTCGACCAGGTCGGCGACTTGGCTTGCTTCCTGGAGAGGGAGGTTGCCCAAAGCGGCCAATGTTTCTTCGAGGAATTTGATGAAGCACGCGTTCATGGAATGGCGGCGGCATCATCACCATCATAGTCGCTGCCAGCGAGCTGCGTGATGGCCTCACCTTTTGAACATCAAAAAGTTGCCAATCATTGATCTTAAAATATCTTAAACAGTGCCCAGTTTTACACAGGTGTGTCTGTGCCGGTGTGTAGGTGTTTGTTTGTGTGTGTTTGTGTGTCTTTGTGTGTCTTTGTGTGTGCTTCTGTGTGTGTGTGTGTTTGTGTGTGTGTGCGGGTGTGCTTGTTTCTGTGTTTGTATTTGTGTTGTGTGTGTGTGCGTTGTGTGCTGTGTGTCTGTGTTGTGTGTGTGTGTGTTGTGTGTGTGTGTTGTGTGTGTGTGTGTTGTGTGTGTGTGTGTTGTGTGTGTTGTGCGTCGTGTGTCGTGTGTTGTGTGTTGTGTGTTGTGTGTTGTGTGTGTGTGTGTGTGTTTCCTGTGTGTGTGTTGTGTGTGTGCTGTGTGCTGTGTGCTGTGTGCTGTGTGCTGTGTGCTGTGTGCTGTGTGCTGTGTGCTGTGTGTTGTGTGTTGTGTGTTGTGTGTTGTGTGTTGTGTGTGGTGTGTGTGTGTGCGTGTGCGTGCGTGTGTGTGTGTGCTCATGTGCTCATGTGCTCATGTGCTCATGTGCTCATGTGCTCATGTGCTCATGTGCTCATGTGCTCATGTGCGCTTTCTGAGTAGATGTGAAGCCGTTGCTTTCCGTCCCACTTTTCCGATGAAGCGTCTCTTTCCTGCGTCAGATGTTCGTGCCCGTTCGAACTGTTTAAAGCAGGGGTGTGCCCGTGCTACGCAAACAAGCTGCCTTCTGACCGCGCTCCTGCCTTCCGCGGCAAACATCATCACAAAGCCGGGGATTGCCCAGATATTTTCGGGCCAGGGCACAGCCTCGAACATGCCGATGTCTGTGGGCAAAATGGAAGGGCTGCACCAAGCGGCGACAGGCCCCACATAGTTTCGCCCCCCCTGAGATGATGTAACATTGCCCGTCCTGGCCAGTAGGGAAGGCCATCTCACAGAGAAGCTTTTACACAGAAGCTTTTGCACAGAGAAGCCGTTACACAGAGCAGCTTTGACGCGCAAAAGCTTTTGCGCACAGAAGTCAACAGATGGACCTGAACCCTATCGCCAGCTTCAGCTCAGTCTGGGACGCACGGACCCGAACCCTGTCGCGAGCTCCAGGTCAGGCTGGGCCGGGACCTTGAGATCTGGCTGGGCACGCACGGACCCGAACCCTATGGCGAGCTCCGGATCAGTCTGGGCACACGGACCCGAACACATGCCAGATAGAATGACAGATGGAATGTCAAAATAGAATGCCAGAATGATAGGATGTCAGAATATGAAATATAAATATGGCAGATAGAATTTGAATGTCAGAATATATGTCAGATAGAATGTCAGCTGGTGGGGATCAGTCGAATAAAGTCATTTTGGACTTTCCAGATGTTTACATGTTTTGATTTTCCAGTTCAGTTGTTGCACGTCACGTCGTCCAATTCTGGGATCAAGTTCCATGATCAACTCTCCGCCCACTCGGCTCGGGAATCACTATCTGGAGAATGACAATGACATGGAATTCTGCGATAATGTGAGTAAAGCCATAATAAAAAACACCAATATTTTGATGGTTCATTAGCACTCATTTATGGTAACATTGGGGGGTTACTAATGGTTTACTACCGTAGATGGACGAAATATTCAAACCCCTTCTATCCGGTAAAAACCCCTTGCCCCCAAAGTTCAATGTTAATGTAACCTGAAGTGCGTTGGCCCCAATGGACGAAAACAAAAAAATCAACCCCCTAACATCACTTTTGTTAACAGGCGCGCTGAAACATTGAGATTTGGGGGTGCGCGGGTTCAACATAGTGTGTATTGCTGGGTTTTATTTTTTTGTCCATCTACTGTATTGCTTTACTCGCAGGTGTCTCTTAGCACTTCCTATTCTTGTCAATACTGCTTTGGTCCTTCTAGCTGGTCCTGAGACCCTACACGCACAGTGGGCCAGTGAAAGTCGGACGCTTCCGACCAAAGCAAAGGATATGAGAAGGAACTGTGAAGGGGAATTAGTAACCCTACTACCACTACACATAATTCGGTGGGTCCTCTGGCCTGAAAAACCAAACCCATACCGTACCATAACAGTTGTCACCTCACAAGATGCTGACTTAGGTAAGTTGGCTTACAACTAGGTTGACTAATGGTTTATGTTGGATACAGTACAACAGATATGTCATGATATTTTTATAGTTAGATTAACTAGGTTACCTATGGTCGATATTGCATATAATAGATATGGGATGATATGGGGATGGCTTCAAATTTAAGCCCTAGAAGGGGCCAATAGACCAATAGATAGATTTACAGTAAGTGAACTATCTAAAATTATCTAAACAAATGGCTACCCAAATTATGACCGATATCCATAGGATCCCATCTATAGCTAGATGGCTTTACAAACCAACTTACACCGGAGACATCTGCCTCGACGCCAGTGATGGTTCGGTAGTCGATGCGAGGGTAGACCTGTGTCGCCCATGACAGTAGCGACAAGGCAAGCCTGGCTTATGGCGAATCTGATGAATGTTAACATACTGTGGAAGAAAATCCTACAAGAGTTGGTATAGATGATTTATGATGATTTATGATGATTTATATACTCCATTGTAAAACAAATCCGATTTGCAGAGTTTCATAGGAATCCCATCCACTGTATCTTCAACATCTGGGGGATCTCACCAACATTTCAGCCATCCGAAGTCAAATCGACCTTGTAATCACGGCTTGCCGCAGCGGCATTGACGGCAGCGGTAGACCTCAAGCTGCGCCACAGCTTTCCAGTTTGGTAACTCACATACCCCCTGGTAATGAAACATGGCAATGGAAAATCTATAATTCATAGGATGATTTTCCCCATTGCCACGTTTGATTATCATATACTCAATCAATCCAATTCTTACAGGTCACGAACCACCTTTTCTGTAGATCCTCGCTGATTCTCATGAAACCAATGGCTGCTTGCCCTCCTTGGTCCCATTCTGAGCTTCCAGCATGGTAACCAAAAAGGCCTGCACCCTACAGGATCAAAACTACGACCAAAACTTGGAACTGCGGTCACGAGAGGATGAGTGGTTGGCCGCTGATGGGCAATTGAAAGGTCTTTCCACAAATTCTGTGGCCCAACTCACGACATGTCTCTTGTGTTGGTCTTCAGATGGTTGCTGAAATCACGGTTGGCCAAGTGGATCCCAAGGGCCAAAGTCACACTTGACCCTGGCGGAGAGGTGGATCATTTTGGTACGGGGGTACAGTACAGAAATGTACTCTGAACAGTCCCTGTGTCAATCAATCAGCCGGGAAAAATAGATGTTCAATTAGAAATGGGAGCATAGATTTAATGTCAACCCCGGATTAATAAATGAACCCTAGGCTGTTTAGTTGGGGGGGTTCCATTTCAGTAGCCA